CTCATCAACTGATTTACCATCATTCCCTAATACCCTGCGTCTAACCTCACTATTACTTACCCGGTGATCCCAGCAGACGCCAGCAATATTTCTAAGGCATCTGTGGTCAAATACCAGTAACTTACGCGTATCCTCTATCCTTGATGGACACGTTTCACAGCCATGAAGCAGAATAGAACGAACTGCCGCGCAGACGCCAGCAATATTTCTAAGGCATCTGTGGTCAAATACTAATAGCTTACGAGTGTCTTCTACTCTTAATGGCCATGTTTCGCTGCCGTAAATTAAAACAGAACGGACTGCCGCGCAGTATACTCGTTCTTTTATTGATAGACGGATATCTCGCCTTCGCCATAGGTGACGCAAGTTGGCAAAAGCCAATCGAGCTTTTCGAATCCGTGCTGAGATTTCGTCCGATACCAACCCATTAGGGCTGATCAGACTTCCAAGATAAATGAAGTTGTCAACGCGTTCGACTACTTCGCTCCCTATCTTTAGTTCAGGTGTTAACGCAGACCAGTCCTGAAGCAACAACTTGCATTTAGAGGGAGAGAAGCGCATTCCAAACATCCTGGCATTGTTGCTCAGTGCTAACAGAAGACTCTGCATTTTGTCAGTGTCTTCACCAAACAGGACTATGTCATCTGCGTATTCTAAGTCGATAAGTGGACCTCCTGGAAGGAGATCAATACCCGAGAACTCAGTCGACGAGAATGTTATTTCCATCAGTAGATCTATGATGAAGTTGAACAAAAATGAGGAAAGTGGACAGCCTTGACGGACACCACTTGAGGTTGCAAAAGTAGATGACAGTTCACCATAAGCTCTGACTTGACTAGTAGTGTTCGAGTAAAGAGCCTTCACAAGGTTTATGTACTTCTGGGGTACGCCTTTCAATGACAGACACTGCCACAGAATCTCGCGGTCTACCGAGTCAAATGCTGCGTTCAAGTCGAGAAAGACCACCATTGTCGGACGTCGATAAGTATGCCTGTGTTCTAGAATCTGACGAATGGTGAATATGTGGTCGATGCAGCCACGACCAGGTCTAAAGCCAGCTTGGTTCTCTCGTGTTTGCAGTTCACGAGTCTTAGTCAAGCGTCTGATAATTATCGAGGCTAGTATTTTAGATACTATATTTGTTAAACTAATCCCTCTATGGTTGTTACAGGATGATTTTAACCCTCTCTTATATATTGAGACGATAAGTGACTGTGACCAGTCAGATGGAATAATGTCTAACTCCCAGATCTTAGCTAAAATATCAGTCATCCTAATCGCTAAAATTGGACCACCATCCTTAAACACCTCTGGAGCCAATCCATCTGGACCAGCTGCCCTTCCTCGTTTCAGATTAACTATAGCCTTTTGAACTTCAGCAAGAGTTGGGGGACCTACTTCAATATTCCATTCACACTGTCTGGGAATGGAGGGTAGTTGTAGAGTAGCTGAAGGCCAGCTGAACTGTTCTCTGAAATGTTCCACCCATCGTTCTAAACGTCTGGACTGAGAGCAGATGAGGGTGTCGTCTTTTTCCGAAATAGTCTGACTTACACTTGACTTATTAATTCCAGTTTCTTTTATTAGTCTGTAAAGCTGTCTTGTGTTCCCTATAGTCGCCGCCTTTTCCATCTGTTTTGCTTTCATTGCCCACCACTGCTCACGGTCGTTTCTTAGACTTTTTCTTAACCTAGATCTGATTTGTTGTCGCTCTTCCTCATGTTCGGAACCTGATAGGACGAGTTTGCGAGAATCCATCAGTGTGATAGACTTTGAAGAAATCCACTGGTTCTTTGTAACTCTGTGGTTTAAGTCACTAATAGATTTCATTGCTGTTTCCACAGCTGTTTGTATATCTTTCCAAGCAACATCTGGGTCAGCCTCGTCTTCAGAACTACCTAATCGTGACCTCAGTTGTTCCTGGAACCTACTTTTGGTTTCCTCGCTACTCAGTTCGGTTCTAATGGGTCTTTTTACTGTGGCTTTTTTGCGTCCAGTGAGGCGCAAGCAGATGCGTGCCCGTATTAGGGCGTGGTCGGAGTCCAAACAGGTACTCCAGAATGAGCGACAATCTTGTACCGACCCTCTCCAACGATGACCGATGGCAATATGGTCTATTTGAGTCCATCGTTGGCTTGGTGCAGGTGGTCGCCATGTTAGACGATGTCTCTCCTTATGCTTAAAATTTGTGTTTGCTAAAAATAAGCGATTGTCTGAGCACAGTTGCAGCAGACGGTCACCATTATCTGTTCGCTGTGCCGGAATGCTAAAATATCCACCTAAATGCCTTTCTGTTTGGTTTAAGCTACCTATCTGAGCATTAAAGTCACCCCCTACGAGTACTATGTCTGAGCGTTTAGCTTTCTGAAGAAGTTCAGAAAGCTTTCTGTAAAATTCATCTTTCACATCGTCTGAGCTGCAGTCAGTGGGAGCGTAGGCAGAAACGACGAAAAGGCAACGACGTGTGTCCCTATCCTTCCGAGTTTTTACGGAGCCGTTTAGCCGAACAGCACATAGACGACTGTTGACGGGGATCCACTCTAGCAGTGCTTATTCCGCTCTCATGCTTAGTGCTATGCCTACACCTGCCAGTCCACGAGAACTGGCCATCGGGTCACCAGATACACGGAGGGTGTATCTCGTTGGCTCTCCGTTTTGCCGAGGTGAGGTCAAGTGAATGACCACACTGGAATCCTGTATGCGTGTTTCGGAGACACAGCATACATCAATGGAAAGAGACTCTAGGGTTTTAGCCAAGGAAGCCTGCTGACCGATTTGACATAGAGTGCGTACGTTGAAAGCTCCAATGTGTAGTTTGGAGCGAGGTTTCAGTAGACTGGGGACAGTGTTTTGAGCACTAGAATCGTTGGCTATGGTGACACTTGAGGAGGAAGCCGAAAGAGGAAATTTAGAGTTGAAAGTCGATGTAGGAGGAATAATAGGAGTTGAAGAGGAAGGTTGATTATGAATACAGTGGTCTTGGGTGCTGTTAGAGGTATGAGGGTGGTTATCACTTCCCGGATGCCCACACCGTGGAAGGGTTGTTCTGGAGGTACCTGAAAAGAAAATTGGATTAGAGGCGGTCTCAATGACCTGAGAGCGTGACCGCAGTGCCCAAGGGACAACTGCTTGAGGCCGGTCGCGCACGGCCTTTTCGTGGGAGGTTTTTGACGTGTTAGCTCCGTTCTTCAAAGGGCCTTACCGCCAGAGACGGAAATCCGTGAGGTAAGGTGCGCATTTTTAGGGTCGACCTTTTCTAACCTCACCCCTTCTTGTGGGAAGGCAGCATCGCTGTCATGCTGGTTGTTTGAAGGAAACACCTTACTGCTGTCACACCTCTGTACAGTCAGCAGTACGACTTCGCCTTCGGACCTTGGGTTTGTTGCTTTTAGTCTTACCGCTCTTCAACCGACCTGTCTGACATGGTAGGACCTTGAGGAACGGCTGTTCCAGCCAGTATAGCTCGGTTGCTTCATCACGATAGGCAAGCCCGACCACCACGTCAAGGTAGCAACAACGGTCGGGATTGAATGGTTATATTTTCCAGAATTAAACTTGGTCATATCAATTGCATTGTACCTAATCTAACGTTATAATCAGAGTGAATGATGGCCCCAAATGATATTTCCGTTTTTATTGGGTAAGTATTTAGCGTAAAACACAGCCGTAAAGTCTATACACTTCTACCTCTTCAGTAGATATAATGAACTGTGCTAAACTGGTAGATAAACGCAATATTGTTCTACTCTGTACGAAATCCATTGGCAGGTTCTTTTATATATTTCTGAACGAAATCGCTTTTGTCGAGCTGATTAACACGATAACGTGGACGGATGTGCACTGATAGTACACAAATCAACGGTGTATATGCCTCTCTTCGGAACATTATATTTCAGTGAGCCGTGGAATATCGAAAGACAATGATCTGACTGTGAAAAATTAGTATTTAGCAGAAATGTCACACTTCATGTACATTTTTGTGCAACCTAACATTACGGTGGAAAAGTGATTTAGCGATATGTCCCGATTGGCTTAACAAAAACATAAACTGTTCAATATGGTTATTCTAACCGATTCGCAGCATACATCAAAACTTTCCTACCTCACAGACTGATAACTGTAAGTGTTAATTTTGAATTATGACTGAATCTATTTAAGAATACGATTTTGTAAAACTCAGTCAGAAGTTGCTAAAAATCATCGTTCTTGGAGCCATTTACTCAGAATACATAAACCATTTATGACTCAAATTTTCGTTCTACGACATGCTTTATCCCACCACCGAGAAATCCTATGAGTAATGTCTATATAACTTTTACTATATAGTCTGAAGTTAAGTACATAGACCTGTTGCTGTTACACTAAAAAATCTAAACACTTATCAGTCAGTTATACTTATTGACCATATAAGATATATAAGTGAACCACCTTTCCTTATGCAGTTAATCATTGCCTATTCCGTTGAATCTATGGTTGACGATTTTCCAGAACTTTAGCTAATCTTTAGTGATCACCAAGTCACTATTCAGTGCGATGAAAATCCAAACTAACATCACCCCAATAGCTATTAAGAAGTAGACAGCTATTCTTTCATAGTTTGGGGTTCTACAGTAGGTTGATTTTTCACTTTAAAGAGATTAGTAGGAGTAAAAACATCAAATCCAAGTAGAACAGCCACTCTTCTGTTAAAAGGTTGGGACTTTTCATGAGTCCATATCACCAATTCTTTCTACCAGTGATTCTACGGTTGTCTGGACTATTATGTTGCTGTTGATTGAATGATTAACATTTCTCAACTTCATAATTATAACACAAACATTTTACTTAATGCCAACAGTTCGCATTCGCTCTTGACTTACATAAAACGTTTTTCCAACAAGGATTCCAGGTAATTTATTCTAAACTAAAGAGACAAGGATTTAAACGCTTATTTTCACTACTAACACCACACGATTGGTAAGTGGACAGTTATTTGATTCCTAGAAGCCCTTTTTGTTTTTACATTTAGTTATAAGCAAAAATAGTATAAAACCAACTGATTCAATATCCGTAAAATTTTTGCATAACAACTCAAAACACTCAACATAAAATTAGTTTTAAAGGAAGTACATCAATAATCTTATTCAAGTGTACATACATGCGCGTAAGACTAAAACAAAATAAAATTGGAATACCGGGATAGGTAATAACACTACAATATCTCACATTTGTATATGCATATGAATGTTTACAATTGGTAGGAGTAGTCTTTTGTTGACAACAAATAGAACTAGACAGTACCCCTAATTTAACCAGCGTCACACTAACCTTTAAAAATTACACTGAAAGCTAACAACTAGGGATCAATATAATAGGGAAAAAAGTTAGCACGAAAAAAGTCGCAGATGCAAAAAAATACAATAAAATTAAATATTGAGCCAAGTGTTACATATATAAATATTATGTGTACACCCTTAAAAGTAGAATAAATGAAGAAAAAAAAACAATCCGTGAGAGGAAAAGACGAAAAACATGTATAGTAAAGAAAGAAGAAATTGAAATCCGGTTAAACGATAAAATAAAAAAAAGTATCAGTGATGCATTTACACTTCGAAACGGAGTATTAAGATCTGGTTATAGGAGTACGTATGACACACAGATCTGTTTATTGATTATTAATATTATTATTACTAATAAGGATATCAGAAAACGCCAACCATACGCCAATAATTTCACACTATAGAAATAAAAGTATTTCGAGAGATCAAAACGAATACGTAGTGTCTACTCGTACTTTTTTTATTAAAAAAAATTAAAAATATTAAGTGTATAAAACACATTATTTCTAAAATCACTGTGTTTTCATCAATGTAAAAGTTAGGTATTACCAAATTTAAGAATGAAAATCAATTCAAAGGAAATAATTTTATTGAGAGAAATACTGGCAGAATAATGAAGAATTTGATGGAAATCTTAAAGAAGGAAGGAAGCACTGTGTTATTGACATATATTTATACTTATATATTTTAATTAGGCATACAATATTCCAAAGGATAAAAACAGGATAATTCATCATCAGATTATAGGGTCATTGAAGCAATTATATTCTTATCATATTTGTTGTATAAATCACCTCGAATAATAAACTGACAAGTAATAAATGCTGAGCATAATCAATCAATTAAACAAGAATTAAGTAAAAACAACAGCAAAATTAACTTCTTTTAGGTTTAGGAGCTAATTTTGGAGCAAAGTTTATGGAAGAACCAGATGAATCAGATTTAGTTGCTTCGAAAGCTGCTACTCGAGCAGCGATTGAAAGTTTCGGTTCACTAGTCGGTTGTTCATCGGCAGTCCGTGGTATTTCATGTTTTTTTTCTTCAGAACTTGCTCTATTCAAACGGGGTAAGCTTCTAGGAACTTCTACCGATTGAACTGTATGATTAGATTTACTCCGTAGAATAACTTTGCCAAGTTCTCCATAGCTTGAGTTACCACCGTCACTGGCGGGACATTGGCTTGAAGTTACTGGCGATTGGGTTTCAGGGCGCTTTCGCATTGTATTCAAAGTTTGTTCGGCGAAATGTTCAGCAAAACTGTCAGCTGACTCTTCATGAGTGCAACTGGGAGATGGTGTACATTTTTGCACCTTAGAATCTGTTGAAATGGGAAGATCCATGACTAAATCTGGAGCATGTTTCGCGCTCGGTAAGCAAAGCTTACGAGTCAGTTCTTGGTTGCGTTCAAGCGTTCTAGAATCACTATTGCGGTTATCTGCTTGTTCCAAAGAAGCTAAACCACGCATAACCTTGATCAAAGATAAGTTGAGGTGTTAAAGAATGATAATTTGATCACAACCAACCTTGAAATTATTACTATTATTAATCAACGTCTAAGAAAATTGCATCTACGAAAGTACTTTTGGAACAATTAAACACTCATAAATCCTGACAGTCACGTTAATTATTAAAAAAATGATAGAATCAAACATGCTTAATGCTTTATCAAGTTTCTTAAAAATAGTACGTGAAAAAAAATCGTGTTCTAACTACGGTCCTACGTATAAAGCTTTGATTTACCACCTTGCTACTGCGTGATCTTTAAATCCAAAGCAAACGAATACATGTTTTAAGAAACATGAGCCCTAGTACTTCATATAAAACTGTGATCGCTGTGTTACTTGATCTTAAAACTGATAAGTGAATTTTACAGTGCATATACGATGTATATATAATGGTTGAATAGTGTTTGTATGACGTAAAAAGAACCTAATAAGTATTATTTCATTTTAAACAACTCAATTTGTACACATTAAATAGTAACGAACAATCACAGCAGCAAAACATTTTCATAGTAAGTGGATATTTAGGACAATAGGGTGAGATGTTGTCGATTCCATGCGTAAGGTTAATTATGAAACTGAAAACAGAATGTCAAATCTGAAGACTTAAAAAAATTAAACTTAACATTACTAACTACTTGAATAAGCTTTAAGTAGCACCAAAGATAATACAAATTTTAAAAAACCAATCGCAGTCATCAATCCCCGTGCAATTAAATTAATAATTCTGAATAAAGTTGGTCGATCGCCTGTAAAATTCAAGACACCAACTTTTATATGATTAGCCTCATATAGGAGTCAGTCAATAATGTATCTTATCAAACCATACCCCGTGACAGATGCTGAACTCGAACCAGTTGAAATACTATAAGAACTGTGCCAAGCGATTGAAAGAAAGTGCCTTTACAGTTTTGGAAGTTGTAATATTTCAAAAATGGACAATACATGTTCGTGGACTTAAAAACCTGGCATCAAAGTTCTAGGCACGTAGAAAATCCGACATTTGGGTTAACATCGATCTCAGTCTTTAAAAATACGTGCATAAACTGATCTAATCAACTGACCCAGACAATTAAAATGAATGAATCCCGCCAGGTTATCATAAGCATCGAACTTATAACCCTGTAATTTGTACCGACAAGTATTAGCACTTTATAGTCATAGACAGAAATAGCAAATCAATATGTCACACCCCTTCTGAATGTAAACCCTGGTTCCCAAATGGCACTGTATCAATATTAATCACAACAGTCTGGTCAACTCATTTTAGTAAAAAGAATCTAAGACTATTTGGAGAAGACAGAGATGACAAATTTATAAAACGGTTTCTCGGTATGTATGATGAGTGAAGTAAGTTGATATTAACAAATCCCAAGTTGAATAAAGATATTGTAAAATAAGGTGATGAACATTTATATTTTATGATAACAGAAAATTTAGTGCTTCAAGAGGTCACGACGAACGTAATTCCAAAGTTGAAAAAATTCCGTAGAGATAAAAATGTTTTCAAACTCAGTGTTACACAAGTCATTACTGTTGTTTCAAACATCAATAAACTCATTTCCTTAGTGTGAAGGCCTATTTGAAGTAGGTCAAACGGAGTTAGAAAATGCAACCAACTTAGTTGTAAGGTTTACCTACTAGGTCACTGCTGAACAACGAACTTCAGTGGTTGATAACCACAACTAAATAATTATAGTTGAATATTTAAACATTCGATTCACTAGAAAACCAGGTGGATATTAATCAATGAGAGGGATTAACAAAACATTTTGCCGAGAAAAGGCAATATATATAATCAGACAGTTATTCTGAATAAACTATAAACTGGCAAAAGTATTATGATCAGTTCTTTTAGATGAAAACTTACCTCTTCTAAAGCTGTATCAACGTCAGAATTAAACAAAAATCGAGAGCTGCCTTCGCCTACAGATTGGCAACGATTATTCGCTTCATTTAAACTATACGCAGGAGATGATGGAGTTAATTCACTGGGTGATATAACTTCATTTTCAGGAACAGAACCTAAAGGCCCAAGGGCTGGATAACCAATAGTATAACGATGATTAAACCGATGCATCACAAGTTTATCTGAATAACCGAATTCTGGTAAAGACTTTTTATCTTTAGATTCGGGAGATTCTGATGTACTATTTGGACTTTCCCTACAAATAGTCGATTTTACACCTGGATTTTAAAACAAAAAATAAAGTATGGAATACGACATTAAAATCGATGGGAAGTGAAAAATTCAGTTACTTGTTATGATTAATATAAAATCTGACTCTATGTGACTACTCCATTCTAGCTTAATTAATATTGTTGTAATCAAACAACGCGTTTTGAAATGGGTCGATACACAGGTATTATCGTTTCTGAATCACAGAATGGTGTTTGAGTTTTCCGCTAGAAAGTGAAACTGTGTTATTTACTATAATTCAAATAGTGAAGCTAAATGAAACTTTATAAGCATAATGAGCCTTCTGCACTACATGCTTAACTAGATACCTACAGTTTAAAATATGAACTCGATGGTTGTAAGTAAAGTACTTAACACATGTTGAAATAAAGTCCGTCATCAGAAATGTACGACCTGGGATGAATGCTTATCGGCTCAGGTTCCCACATATCACATCAGTATATTGAAAAGAAATTAACGAGATGGAAAATAATACCGAGAATAATGGGAGTAAAAAAATTATAGAAAAAAGATTTGGGAGAAACATGTCGGATTAGAGAATATATGTTATAACTACCTCAGTCGATGAAAGTCTAACACAATCCTCTTCTTCCCTGGCACGTCGTGACTTTAAACTCAGCGTAACTCATTCGGTGGTTCCATTAAAGGCAAATAATACTTCATAGATTTATATGATGAAATACATTCAATTATCTAATTTTATAATTTGATTTATACACATGATTTTAGTCTACATACTTCATTACTTTCAACTCAAACGAAACTTTTGCATCAAATGAGATGGTTACAGTATGAACTATAAATCTACTGAGTCAATCACTATCTACCTCAATACGTGTTGGCAGATGGAGTAGAAGCAGTAGAATAGAAACGAAATGTATGGATGTATATTGTTCTATCGGTTACAATAATAGACTAATAACAAAGTAATAACTACGTAATTACATAAAATATTTTACCTTTATCAGAAATCTCAATCATTGAAGAATTCCCTTTGAGAATAGAACTATCGTGAATAGTTTTAGACAAGGTTATTGTTTCCGATTGATTTGATTTGTCAACTATTGAAATTGGAGTTTCAGACTGTGATAAACGATGCACTTTACTATCATTAGTATCAGAAAGAATATTTTCGTTTGAACTTTCAGAAGGACAATTCCAACTGAGTACACTACCATTTTCTGTTACACTTTTATTATCATCATCATTATTAACAGCATCGACATGATCTAAATTACTTAAACTTCCATCAATTGCTGTATATCCACTCTTTTTAGAAAGATCAATAGTCACCTCATTTAACAGATGATTTTCATTGCTGTGATTATCCTCTTCACATGCTGCAAGGTGTAATAGAGCAGCTTTCGGTACAACATATAAATGTGGTACTAAGCCACGTTTACAACTCGAATCTGAAGCTAATTGTCCTTCCCACCAATGTTGACTTAATTGACGATAGAGAAAAATCTCATCACTTTGATGAAATGATAATTCCCGTTCACTTGATCCAGTAAAATCTGCTCGAGCGACAGCTAAAGTGTACGCTGGTTCGGAATCTGTATTTTTAAATAAATAAATAAATAAATATATATATATATATATATATATATATATATATATATATATATATATATATATATATATATAAGATATAAGTTTGTTTAAAAATACCTTAAAATGAAAAAAAAGTAGTTTAGCAGGAAATATTTCAACCTAAAAAGTAACAAACTATCTATGGGAATACCTTGGAAATAAATTAATGTACTCATTTGCATTTAGCAACCTATCTTGTTAATCATGCAGACTAAAATATCTAAATACCAAACCCAATTAAGATGATTTTGGTTGTGGGGTTTAGTATACAAAAATATCTCCTATAATCTGACCTTCTCGGGTAATGAGAAATAAGCGGTTAACTTGAGTGTTGGAAAAGTCGATTACAAACCAGCTGTGCAAACAGACTCTAAAATCTGAAAGGAAGAAGCGGCATAAAAACGTAATTTGGCCAACAGTAGCCATGGTAATGCACCTCTCGATGTCGGTCTAGTGTCCAGTGGATTATCGCTTTAAAAAAAAAACGATTTCCTACCATTCGCATACGGGAGACATGTCATATTAATCATTATAATAGCAAATAAGAAACACTAACCTGTTTGGTACACAAATACTCACTAACTATTCTATTATTACCATATTGTATACAGTTACTGTATTGTACCAATCACTTCTGAGGTTACAAATAATGCAACAGCTACCTTACCGTCTGACAAATGAAACCGTCATCAGTTAATTGCATTAAAACTCTAATACAACTCTACATTAATTGGTTACTTGGTATGAAATAGTTCCCGTATCATCCAATATTGTGAATAATTTATATAAACTCGAAGACCGAATATGAAATAAAATACCAAATGCGTAAAATATTCAATTATGCAAGTAACTATTAAAGTGAGTATATATTAAAAGTGAATAGTGATTCTTTTTAGGCAGAAATGTTTGTTTCTACAGAGTACAAAAAGTTACATTTCATGTTTTAAAAAAGTGTACTATTCAAGCGTACATACACATTAGTGCAAATGCATGTCGCTCATTCTTGTACATAAATACCACATATAATTTACATGTAACATAAGATTGTTTCTATCTTGGTGAAACGATGCCATTAAATTAAAATTGAACATAGATAGAGACTGAATATACATAAATTATAACTATACATTTGTATAATTAAGTCTTAGTATATCTAAACCACTCACGTACAAAAAAAACGATGAATTCATAAAAAAACGTTACATGAAGGTGGTATAGTTTATAAATGGAACATCACCATTACCGTATTATCGACATATAAAAGAAAATATAAATCGAAACGAACCTTCACTATCAGATATGGATTGGACATCTTCAGAAAACACGTAGTCATCATCTCTAACAGTTTCATTTTGCTTAGACGAAGATAATATCTCATTGTCAATTAGATTGCTATATTTTATTGATAAAAAATAACACAAAATGATAATTTTTACTTTTTAGACAATAACGTTAAAATAGAGAAAAGCAATTCTTTCTGAATATTAGTCGATTCTCTCTTCTGTTTTTTTTTCTTGGAAAAAGTCATTAGTTATTGTAGTATGTTGAGAAATAAAGACATTCCAATAGACAGAAAAGTGAAAAATATTAAGAATAATGATCATTAAAATAACAACGATATCTCTCAATAATGAGAGCTAATCTTCCTTTTTTGTTGTTATAATATACAAGAGAATTATTTTAATAAAGAGAGATAATTAATAATTAAAATACAATTATGTACAAATGAATATTGGTTACTAATTAAAATGTTAATAAAATTAATGAATAAGTTAAACTATTCAAATGAAAGAAATCAAGAAATACAATTCTAGTATAAGTGAAGCAATGGATTACTATTACTGGTTAAAGCTGTTAACTTCTAATCATAAGGCTAAAGGTTCGACCTTTGTTTCATCGACCTCGGTTTGGATAGTTGTGTAATAAATATAGATTGCATATCACAAAGTATGACTCAAGGTTAAGTACATGAATTTGTACTTGATAAATAAAGTTTTACATTATTCATCATCGATTACAAAGTTTCAAATATTTTACATTAGGAACAAAAACCAATCTTAAAAATATAAGTGACTGATAAAAACAACATGAATATCAGAAATTCATCGTTTTGAAATAAATTTATGTATTTCTTTAAAAACAATAACACCATCAGTACTTCTTTTCAACTAAAATCAATTTCAAACACTGATGTATGTATAAGCTAGTAATAGTGTAGTAATAACGGGTATAAAATGTGTGTATACAACAGAACAATTCTTCGTTTATATTTTAAGTAGTTATGGCATGTTTGAATTTGGTCAGTGTTCCACATTATCAAAGAAATATCATGATATCATAGTATTTCAACCGATATGTTTTAAAATTAATTTCATAATATTTATTGCCATTTAGTTAGCTAAAATATGTATCGACTAAGGTCAGCAATACTTCACAACAGCAGAAAAACAGTAATATGAAAAACAATGATATAATAAACCAATTTTCATTCATATAGTTTTATTGAGATATAAGGTCATCTACTACTTCTTCATATATGAATGCATTTGTATCAGACACCAATTTTCAGCCATATCATCTGAAGTCAAGAAATACAAATCTTACAGGGTTAAACCAGGAGGTTATTGCTAATCAACACAGTTTAAACTACAGTCAATGATTTCATGGAATAATTATATATCTCTATGAGATGGTGGAGAAGATTTGTAGCTCAGGTGGATGATTTTGGTGGTGTTTTGTTCTCTGAGCCATCCTCTGAACCATCCAGCTCAGAGAACAAAACACCACCAAAATATATCTCTATGTTACCAGTCTCAGACTTCTTACTGAAGAGTGGATTTCTATGCAATTTGTGGGAGTTATTCAGGCCGTTTATTCATAATCTCAACTACTAAGTAACCCACAAACCGACAAAATAAAATTTCTATAACAAAACACTATTATTATTATTATTATGAGCAGAGAAGGATGGTGGCTAGCATTGGAAACTAGAACGCAGGTTTCATCCTACTTGGGACTCGTCAGCTGGATGTTTACGCCGTGACGCGAACCCGTAGCTGTTCTCTTCAAATGCCATCACGTCATCCACTTAGCTACGGAGTCCAGATAGCCACCAGCTTTTGTAATCAGGTGAAGCTTGATTCGTTTGTATTGGTTGTTTGAATTTTCTCACTGATGTATAGGACTACAATCGATCAATTTCTTTTCACATCAACTCTGGGACGTAGGTACATCCAAATGACGAGTCCCAAACAGAACAAGATATACATCCTAGAATGTACTGCTAGCCACCATCTATCTCTGCCTATAATGCTTGTGACTTAATTCTAATGTCGAGACGATCTGAACATGATGCAAATATGGCAAAAACAGACTGATGAATTTCAGTCCTAAGCATCGCTGAGAAGATTCAAGCAACTAATACAAATGAATTAAATATTAATATTCCATTTTTTGCTAAAATAAAAAGAAACACGATAAGATTTATTTGTTAATTAAGCAGGGACTATTATAAATTATCAAGTTATTCGGTATAGACTATTATCAACGGCATTTAATAATTAAACGTGATTGCTAATCGTTGTTTGGACCTATGGATAAGCAGTGGAGTAGAGGTAATGAATGAAAAAGTCATCAATATAGAATTTGGACGATCAAATATCCTAATATTCTACACTACGTATGTTAGCTTGATAAACCATGGAAGTCAATAAACGTATTTGTTTTTAGAACTTTTACAAGTTCTTCATGAATAACGACGCAATTTTAGTACTAACATAACAGAGTAATTTCAGTTGGTAATAATGGAATATATATTCAAAAGCTGTGAGTGATCCTGGGAAATTCGAATCAAAGAGATAAACCTTAGGAAAAGTATGAAACAAATGTCTAATTTATATATCATAAGGAACAACTGTTCAAAATGTATCATGAAATATCAATTCTAAACAGAATTTGATAACAAAAAACCTTACCCAACACTTGATGCTTTACCACATTCCGCGGGTGAAATTTCATTATTATTATTATCATTACTCTGTACATGATCCAAATGTGTAGTTGATTGGTGTTTAACATTTAATTCCATTGAAAATTGACATGTATTATGCAAGTTTTGTTTGAATGAATTACTACTATCATCCTTAATATGTTGTTTATCAGTATTTATTTCGATAGCATTATTTGACGAAAGTGATAAACGATGTGAGTCTAAACTGGTCACAGATTTATGACTTGTAGTTTTATTATTGCTAATATTATACTTATTCTTGTTATACACAGGTCCAGGAAGCATATGATCAAAGATTACTAAATGATGTACAATGAGTAGTTTGATTAAATCAATAACACTTGATTGACAATGTAATTGATTATATTCACTTGGAATAGGGATTAATGTTGGACCAAAACAAATAGCCAAATTGTATGCATCCATCATATTCTCATTAGAATATTCAGATACACTAATGAGAAAGAAAATAAGTAGAAGAAAAATAACAAAGTGAAATTAGTATTTGTGATCAAAACTTTTTTGTATAGATCATTATTTAGAATGATAATTTTTTGCAATTAAAATTATTTGCTCGTACATTATCAGTAGTTTACATGGTCACTAATAGTATACATCTAAGTTCTGTAAGTTACATCAGTTTTTTTATAGATTGGATTAACTTTCATTTAAGCTATCTATCAATGTTTAAATTTCTAGTTTTTTTCCTCATATACGCGGAACAATAATTTAACACATGAAAAAATCAATTCACTATTTATTATTAATTCGTGTTTGCCTGTAGTAATTACATAATCGCAAAAACACTAGCTAGTTGTGAACTTTTCTCCTGCTTTCCAAAAAAAAAACAATCATGAATAGTAGGTATACCCAGCTGACGAGTCCGAAGTAGGACAAAACGCGAGTCCTGGATTCCACTACTAGCCACTATCCATCTTTGTATATAAATCATGAACAGTATTTCAAATAATATATATTTAGTTCAAGCAAATTGCATGCCTTTCTTTGTTATGCAATTCGAAGAAACATATACTCTTTATTAATTCACTCTTTAACAACAATAGAATACCGAGTCATCAACGTTAAAATTATTTCTTGCATGCAAATTATGATATGATGAATCTGTCGAGCGGTCACAGTCAAGTACACACTTCTTTCTCAGCTTATATTAATTTTTTTTTAAAGAATTATTTCATATTATTCATTCTCATTACTTAAAGGTTAAATCAATAATACAGGGGAAGTTATTAACGTATTACAACGCAACCCTTGAAACATTTTATTTGAGCCAGTAATGAAACTAATGAGAGAAAAATAGGTCATAGGGTTCGGGGCGAACGTAAAAAGTAATCAAACTCTTCACGAAAATATCGTGAAAACTAACCAATAGTTGTACAACTTGCAACATACACACAGACATACAGTAAAAAAACGCATGCTGCATACATACGTACATACATACATCCATACATGTAGTACATTATTTACGGAAATCGATTGCAATAACTAACTTTAGTTATGCAAAGAAACTATGATCATCATTCATCTTAATGGATAACCAATCGTCTACATAAATATATATGAATATATTTAACCGGATGTACAAAAAACATTACATCACACCATGAATTGTTTCATTTATGAATAACAAATAGAATACTGAATAACTAAACTAATTTAAAGAAGAAAATTAAAAACAATCATTATTATTATTATGGACCTTCTTTCTTAAAATAGAAGATAAATATTTATGAATACAAAGAATATAGTGGAATGAACCCAGTTTGTTTCAAATAACCATCATCTTGCGGACTGTGATACAATGATAATTATGTATTAATAGTAGCGGAACTGGTGGATGAAGTTATTGCAAATTATTGTTCTTAATTTTTGAATGTACTGTAAGGATTAAATAAGAGCTTGCGTCTAAATTTGAACGAATAGTTTCACAATATTTGTAAGGATTGTTAAATTACTAAAATCTAGTTGGATAAATGGAATTCACTCAATGAGTATCTTCTTTCAAAACAATAGAATATTTTCGTGTTTACTAATAACAACCATGTCGAGTGTAAGACAGTTATCCACCGCAGGCAACAAAAGACGGTCGAGCAATATCACGAATCGATTAAAGTTATACATATATCATTGAGTGTCGATTTACTGGTCTAGAGATCAATAGTTTGTGGATGAAAAACATGTGTCCAGTATTTCCCGGGTTTTAATGGTGCTCTAGCCATCAAGAGTTCGTGATTTAAACTCTGAAAATTCTATAATCTCCACAGATCCTGTCGCGAAAACTAATAACAGATCAATGTAAAGCTGTACTTCTATTGAAACAACCCACAACCATAAGTACATTTATGATGGGCGCCATTATGATTTGATTTTGCATAATAAATGTGCAGCTAACATTTGAAAACTTGCTTCTTAACTTAACAGATTACTTAGATTAACATTCAAATACAACACTACATCAAAATAATTGCGATTCAGTTATTGTAAGAAAAGAAGTAAATTTCAAGTGGAAAACATCCTACAGAAAAAATAATAAAAACACTGATCATTTATTGACCTATTTAAAGCATTTTGCTCGTATCTTGATGTCGGTATCAATAGAAAAGACAATCAAAAGTTTCAATAAAGAAAAAATCAGTCACAATTCTAACCAATATTTTGAAAAATTAACTAGACTACATTTATAGATATTTGCTATAACGTAATAGAGATTCTCCTTACGAACTAATATGAAGTGTAAAATCATTGACAACTATGAAGCCTTACACAACATCTGCTTTACTTTACCCTATAACACCTCAGTTTTAATTACTCGCAACCATTGTACACAATGTAGGACTTAACGATTCTTCAACTGACGTCAGGATACCATGAAAATTGTTTTCGATTTGTTCAAAAACTTTACAAAACAGCATAGTTAACTATAATCATGCGCCGTCTACTCACAACTTGCATCTAGGTGAATTTGATGAAGTTTCAGTGACATCCTGTAGCCTATAAAATCTGAAGTGGCATACTATCGTCAGATAATCAAGTTGCATGGTTACAATTTGACTGACGTTAAAATGGATTATTGAATTTTAAAGCACTGATCAAAAGTTATCATTGATAACACCATAACTGAATAAAATGGGTTTTGGTTTTAGTGGAGTTGTAAGTGTACACTGTTAAGTCATCCAACTTGTTTGTATGAGTCAGTTCACATATTTTCTCAAATGTATAACCTGAATGCATTAACTTGTTAAATATTCCTGGCAGTTCTGTTGATTGTTTGTTCGAAATGAAATTTATGCTATGTAGCTTTTCACAGCTTCAAAAATATTAATCACTAAGACAATTCTAATTGCTTTATTAATTACCAGTTTGATAACCAAAGTTTAGTGATAACACTTTCGAGTTATGCAACTTAGGATTGATATAATTATTGGGTTTTTTCATACGTAGAATGGTTTTCGATAATGAATTATCTTTACTCTCTCTCTCTCTCTCTAGCAGCTTTGATTTTACAAGAGTGTTGTAGTCGAGTGTTCATTTTCACATAAAATTTCATCTCGCTCATATCTTTTATTATTACAGTTTGACTATGCTTACAGCTTCCTGAAATACAGATTTTCCTCCGATATCATCTTTGTTTTAATTATTGTTTTATAATCCTTTAGTCAACTGCTACTAGTCAGTATAAGATCAGCATAGAGTTGTCGAGATTTTCGAATTTCCTTGAGATCATGAACTGATCAATGTTGACCACCTTTGAAAACCTGGAAACACTAGACTGCCATTTCGTTGCAGTATGGGACTCCTGAGTAGTGAGCATCCATGACCCCGCACGCAGGAGTCGAACCCGGAACCTCCGGTCTCGCAGGTTTAATAGTTTCGATATTAAGAATTTACGCACGAGGACAAATGTTATGGGTTCAATTCCCACGTACGGACGCGGATGCACACCTCTGAGGATCCCCACACCAAGGCGCAACGATCGTCCAGTACCTCCAGGTTTTCAAAGGCGGTCTAACATTGGTCGGTTTATGATTTCAATGAGATACAACATAAGATCGTTTAGTAGAAAATAATAGCATGATATACATACACCTTGGAAGTAATAGTATTTTCTGTGATAGAAATCACTTTTTAATCACTGATTAATATTATGATTACTTTTATTGCCATTATAATTTCACATACACGCAGTATCACAAAAGTAACATGACTGACAACAGACCACCTCACAGAGACATTTATTCACAATATTTGCTCGCGTAAAGTACAGTTCAGATTGTAGATGTTGTCTATTATTAAATATTCTATTATTCTATACTATCTCTAATCAATAAAACATTAACTATGACAATATTTGTAAGTTTAATAACGTATGAGTGTGTCCATTCATGCAAAAACTAGTATGTATTGTTAGTACTCTGACTGGTAGGCATTTATATGTCTTTATGGTGTAAAGGTGCGTGTGCCTGTATATGATGATGTCGGACGTGCATTTAAATTTTTTTCAACCATTATTTATTGTCATGTATTAACAAGTTGTAATGTTGTAGTGTAAATGTTATTGGTAAAGTTTAATTCATTGTGTATATACTTGTTTATATATTAAATCAATTCCGATAGGTAAACAACCACATTTCATTTTATATGTAAATCTATTCAATTTAATTTCCTTGATATATTCACTGTGTCCAATCATTATTATATGAAAAGAAAAATCTTATGAAACACATTGTTTATAAAACACCGTCGATATCATTCTCATACTTTGCGTTCTTTGAATGGGAAAACTATGATCATTTAAGCATTAATCATATATTGGTAGTGAAGACTACTGATTATAAATATTTATTGCTATACTCAAAGTTTATTTCTAGGGTAGCTAAATTTGCGGTCCATATGTTATACTTTACGAATTCGATACTTGGTAGATTCGATTCAATGAAATAAACAATTTAAATGTTTACCAGTTGTTATACCTGTCAAATCCCATATATCTCATCGAATTTTGTCGATCATCAATGTTTATCTTGAAATGACATCAATTAAAAAGCCAGTTTAAATAGTGCAACTCATTAACAATGTACACATTTATAAATACACAATGAATTAAGCTCATGATCCTCAGATATCATGACAAGCAAGATTAATTTTGATTATTGAGTTGAAATTGAATGGTTCATATTAACAACGTTGCCCAATACATAAAAAAGTAGAACAATTTGATGTTAAAGCCGAGTTACTGCCTGAATGCTGAATTTATAGGTCACAGAATGTCACTGAAATCTGACCAAATTGACCTAGTTTACGTTGTTTTTGTGGAGGGCTTTTACATATTTGAACTAATTTTAATGGCATGTTGAGATCAGTTGAAGAATAGTTCAGTCCAAATTTGTGTATGTACGGTAATAATGTTTATGCCTAGCGAGGTTTCATTTGTTTTGTAAATTAAAGTAGTTTGTAAAGAAAATTATTTACACAATGAAAAATCATTTGAAAATGACTCGTTTTAACAGTAAAATTACTGATGCTCAAATGAAAATTCACATGGACCAATAAGAAGTTAAAATTATCATTATTTCAATGGTATCGTTGAGTAACTTTCATTCAAATAATCATAAACAAACGAAAATTTATTAATTGTCTGAAAGCTTAAATCACCGTCATTTATAATTCAAAACTAGTACTGCTTATAGTGTATATAACATGAGGTAAGCCCGGGACGATAAAAAATTTTTCGCTGAAGATTGAAGTCTTCTGATATTATTTAGCATATAATAATTAGTGAAAATAAAAACTCCGAACACTAAAATAACATAATAACTTACTGATTCAAAAATGCGAATAAATATCTCATTACAACAAAAACTGGTCTACTCAAATTTTCTGTGATCACATGACGTAAGCGTCGAATCATTTCACTGATTTCCCGATCTGACAAAAGAAAATGATGGTGAGAAAAAGCAATTAACAATGATTACAGAGACAAATAAAAACGTCCATAAATAAACAACAGACTTTAGATAGTTGTAAGTAGTCGACAGAAAAACCCTAGACAGAGATCTCAGTGCAAGTTGGCACTCATCAGCAAGGAGCACCGCCAGTCTTGAGTGAATGGATGTTCGCTGCAGAATTTAAACCCGCATCATCCGACTTCACAATCCGATACTTAACTATTAACCTATTCGAATCGCGATTGACCACTAGTAAAACTGTGGTATTTACAATTGATTGGTCGATCATACATATATTATATATTTCTATTGTATAGTTCCTAATAGAAGCATCTTTCGAACAAAACATGAGAACACAGATTCTTCCGATTAGCATTTCATTGTCAAATGATTTTGTAAGTGTTACGAAGCAATAAAAGTAAATGACTGATGAGAATGCTTAATTAAGCTTTAGACTGATTGGAAAACTGAAATTTCAGTTTGGAAAACAACTCTGAAAAATTCCTCATGAAATAGAAAATCTTTATTTCATTCAAAATTTGATGTAACATGATCGATTTGCACTTCCAAGTAGTTACGTCACATTACAAATGAATATCTTTAAGCACGTTTACCAGATTGCTTTAAAGGTATGAAGATAGAAGGAAGTTAAATTAATGGTGAAAACTCCATGTTGTGTTAACAAGCGGCGCTAATTGTCTACAAGAAAAGTTTAATTTCACGGTCTCAATTGTTCTGTTTAGTTTAAACATTCTTTCTGTCTAATATGTTATCCAAAAAATTAATGATATTATTTTAAATTTTTCCTCGAATTGTGATATTTTCCTTTCTCTGTCCTAGTGACCACAAGGAGAAACTGATATAAAGCTTGTAGTACAACTAGAAAGCTCACTTCTACATGAAGTAAGCTTTGGTGGCGTTGTCTAGAGCGACAACGAAAGCTCCACAATAAAACCATATAGCTAAGTGAATTATATATATATATATATATATATATATATACCAATAGAGTTTAATAACCTGGGCGAATACACCACACTACTGTGTAAGGTTCCACTTTGTTTCTGACAAATGATACGGATAGAAATAAGAGCAAATCAATGACATTAGTAAACTGACGAGGATTTGAATAAGCTTAGAAAATATATTTGTGTTGGATATGTATTCTTTACACTTTATCAATGATTCGCCTTGACCTAATTTTTTGAACAGTTTACTATTTTATTAACACAGCATTATAATTGCTAATGCCAATAGAATTTTATGTAATGGCCATAGTTATTCACCTCACATATCAGAATATAAATTAAGCAAGAGATTTCAGGTCAATTGTTTTATTAAAAATAGTAATTTAGAGTATTAACGAACATTAGTAGAGAAATTTCCGTTTGTGCAATATATTATTTTATGTTAAGAAAACTAAATGACCTGCTCTTATTAAATGATGTGTATAGCAACTGTTTTATAAGCAAATCAGTGACCCAGTTCATGAACTCATTTTTCGAGCCAAACACGTTTTGTGAGAAGACTAATTACCATCACTTGATAAGCAAAATTAAAATAGATCGAGTAGGATTCGAACCTGTATCTACGTAGATAAAAGTTGATTTCTTTCATGGCTTATTACACATGGACATTTTGTTACCATGCATGTATAAATATACTAATCATGCAACTCATAGCATTTGGCTGATCATTGGATGGTGATCAATGTCATGTATTTTAGATCCTTCTTAAGGCAGATCAAATCCTACCGACCAAGTTGCAAAACGTCAATTCCATAGATAATAATACATTGTTTGAATGACTAGGCACATACTACATAAACATCTAATCGAATTCGTTTACAGCTGGCTTACTTGCCTATTTCATAATCGTCGCATTACGACTAAGCATTTAAAGACATAAACATTACAACATACAATATAATTAATTCTTATAGTTCAATTATGACAATGAGGTAGAGATCAAAACTCGTATGTAAAATATATTCATCATTTTATATATATATATATATATATATATATATATATATCATTGTTTATAAGTCACAATAAAGCCTATTTAACTCGTTGAGGTATCAATGAGATTTTGATAGCTGCATAAACAATCGTAAACAGTTTATGGTCAACGGTATGCACATATGTAAATCAACTAGGTTTAAAACAATGACTTTCAATAGTCCAATTATTTCATGCAATTGGTTTATGCTACACGCTTAAATGAACCAAGAATAACAATGCATGCGAATTTTCGCAAAACACATTACCAATCTCGGTTTGCTTATATTTGTGATGAGGATAATTTATATGTAATTTAAGAGAAAGATTTGCGGGTTATGTAATACAGTGGAATATTTGACTTCGTGACAGTATGAAGTTACGTACGTAAATCAATGAAAGTTATCATACCCCATTAGAACAGAGAAATGAAGTTGTCAAACCAAATCCCAGAATAGTAAAAGTGGTAATAGTGTTAGCAGTAATAAGGAAGGTTATGCATCAAGGATATGACATGAAAAGAAAATATAATTTAGTGAAATAAAAACAAAAATAGTTATCAGGAATTTAGAACCTCAAGATTGAGAGGGGAACAAAGAATGGATGCACTTACACCATTGCAAACGATTTTGAACTATGTCGTTCAAAGTATCTAATTATCACCTGGATCCCAACCGAATAAATTGTACCTAACAATATGGCTCAGTCCAATTGTCAGTGACTTCATGGACTGATGTCTTGTTTTGGTTTGGCCGCCCCGAACTAATCCTGACGAGCACCACTTGAAGTAACCGATTCCAATGATAGCTCACCAACAGTGTTCGCGTACAAGATTAGTGTACTTCTTTGGTACACCTTCCAATAACAGGCATTGCTACAAGACCTCACAACCAATAGAGTCGAATCCCCCTTAAGGTTAAGGGATACAACTATTGTCAGACGTCTAAAAGCACGTCTAGGTTTCCAAACCCGCTGAAGGGCAAATATTTAATCTACACACCCACGCCCAAGTCTGGAACCAGCTCGGTTTCATCAGGTTAACTCTTCACGAGCTCTACTTAGACGTCGTAGTATTATCGAGGCTAATATTTTAGGCTATATTAGTTAAATTGATTTCTTTGTGATTGTTGCAAGAGGATTTTGTCCCTTCTCATAGACTGGGACCAGTCAGTTGGGATCACATTCAGTCACCGGATTTTAGCTACGATCTCAGTTAATCTAACTAATAGAATTGAACCACTACTCTTAAAAATCTCAGGGGTTGGTCCATCAGACAGATAGAAAACTCCACATATTTTAACAAATCATCAATGATTTTAGGTTGCTTACAATTGTCTATACTCAAGATTGACGAAATCCTCACAATTATCGATGATGTTAAGAATGTATGGTACTAAAAAACAAATACTAATTAACTATGTTTAGTCTTTTTCAAATATAATGTTCGTAACTAGGCTGATTGGGGTCTGATTTCCCATGATAAGATTGAAAGTTGTCCTCAATAAACCCACCTCAGTGCAAGAATTTTGTGATACATGCGAACAGACAGAAATTCTTGTGATGTAATAAAAATGTACCATTGAGATAATGAACTTTCTAAGACTTTTGGATCAATAACTAATGCACTAACCATTTTCCAGTTCAAAGTATGTATTACATATCATATATATCGAGTACGTTCATAACGTTTAACAATATTTAAAACACAAGTGGTCCCACCAACAAACATATAGTTGTATATGCATTTCACGACTCCTCCCGTTTATTAAAGGGTTTGTCTTGCTCAAAAAGGCATTCTTATTGGATCGACCGATGCAGTCATGTGATAACCTATACTTTGAAGAACCATTGTTAGAATCCACCTTAATGAGTGATGAATATCATAGTTAATAATCTACCTACATAACAATGTTCACCTACATTCACCTTTTCAAGGTTTTCTCTTACTTTTAAATGAACGTGTTGACAAAAATTGTGTTTCAAATACATTATTTGGGAAGTTACAAACGTTTGACGAATAAAGAAATTACATTTTTGTTAGCATCTTAGTAACTGAACAGAATCATCACGGTTAAAGAGAACTGGAAAAACCACAATGAACAATAATATTGGCGTGTGCACAGAGTTATTAGAAACAGCATATTTCAATAATTATATATATATATAAGCTTACTTACGTTTACGTGTTATGTCTATAAGTTCTAAGAAAATGGTATCTGGAAATGGAGGCTCGCCTAGTTCACGAAAATATAATTTTAACAGACTAGCAGTTGAATTTATATCTCTTGCCTCATGAATACCAATCAGAGGGTCATCCCCATTTTCAAAAGCATCTTTAAAGTCATTAATTTCTGCCTGACTACCAGAAACACGAAATACACCTTGTTGATGCATTCCTGAAAATTAAAAAAAGACTGAAATAAGAAATGCACAAAATACAATGAAAATTGAATGATATGCTAAAATTTCAAAAACGAATTAGACAACATTCTGTATGGGCTAGGTAACTCGTAAAAGAGTATAATACATGTAGTTAGTTATTGGTATTTTGTCGAAAATTTGACATTAAACTTGGTAAAGACGATTCACAATAATTACCAACATTTTATTGCGTAAATATTTGGCAGTTAATACAGAATTTAAATTAAAGAATTGTGCAATAGGATTCCGACTAAACCTGTTAACGAGAACTAGATATACACCATCCAATTCAACTGAACTATTTAAGACAAACTTCGAAGCAATTAATCGATCACATAAAAACTACCACACTGTACCGAATATTTAATAATATTAGGTGGTTGAAGGTAATCAGTAAGAAAACTATTGGCGTAGAATATGCGAGAGCTCTCACTAATCAATATCAATCTCACGTCAAATAACGTCTACATTATAGGCGAACATTAATTTGTTTGGGTCATGATGTTTACACTGAGTAATAACTAATGACAGTTCTACTTCACAGTGTAGATAGAATTTTACTGCATAAGGGATGTATTTACAGGACTAAGTAATTCAATATAATAGTGCAGATTGCTTTGACTTTAATTCGTTAAAATCAATCGTAAGAATACTCTGAATTAACTTATTGAGATGGTTGGGACTTTATAACCAAGATTATATTGTTTATTTTCTAAACGATATCAGAACGGGAATTACGTACATAGATTTTATGTGGTGGCATTACTTTCACCTCGTAAGTATGAAGTTTAATAATCCTGGCTTTATTCCCATGTCAAAAGTTTAGTACAACATACATAACAAAAACAAACGTTTTATGTTAGAATTAAGACTCAAAAGATAATTCTGGATAAGAACAAGAAACCCATAATTGGGAATGAAGGAAACTTTTAGAGAATTATACTGTTTAAGGGTTACATATTAATGTGTTGATATTCAGCAATATTCTTATTGATTATAAGTAGATAGTTTTTTTTGTTGAAAAGTAAGTCAGACAAAAACAAACTTGACAAGTACATAAACTAGGGAATATAAAAGAAATACTATGGTAAAGAATCCATTAAAATGTAACCATGGTAACATGAATTATTACTGTCGATAATTAGTCAATACAGTGATCATTTGAATTAGGGTATCTCTTATAGAATAGAGTATGACTGAACTCTGATAAAAATCAAAATTAAAAAATATGACTACAGTTGACTGGATTTGCATTGTAAGTGTTTTATGTCAGAAGTTAGTCCAAAGTAACACAGAACCCAAAGATACATATGAAATGGTAAAATTTGTCACATTACATCAGGACAAAAGCGATGAAATTCATTTCATTATGCTGATATAATGTGATGCAGTGAATATTAAATAGGTAGAAGTATAAGTGATAGTAAAAAGAAAGATAACCTCGACTGGAAAATTTCCACTTTAATTTTTAGATTGAAATCTGCACATGTTTCTGCATTTCAATCTACTATCTGTCTACCAAGTTATTCATCTCAAATCTAGTCAACGATGACTAAATAATTGCACACATACATACAAAACAATAATAACTGAAAAAAATGTCAAGCATCCCTAAAAAGATAGTAGTATAATCAGCAGTAACAAACCAAGGAGAAAATGTATTACAGTATTAAATCAATTCAATAAAAAAATACTTTGAATGAAGCTTCAAATTGTAAACAGTGTAGAGAAGACATCTAGTTGAACACAGACATTTACAAGTAAAATAATGTACTTCACCGACTACAACATCCTGACATTTCAAACTTTTAAAATATAATACACATGGTGAATTGACTACTGATAGTTAATATTCCAACAATTTTCTTACAGAAATACAAACACAAATACTCACTTTTTGGTCATATCATAATGAAACATCTATTTGTTGAAAAAATAAACAAAAAATTATTCTTCGCATGAAGAAAATTTTCTTTCTTTTTAGGACTTAATGATGACAGACGTGAGCACGCATACACATACACACAGGTAGATAAAATTGTTGTTTATATCAACCAATTTAAGACAAAAGAAGATTGATGAACGAACAAAAGAAATTTACCTACGGATTGAATAAAAATTGAATTTTATAATAGTAATAATAATAATAATAATAATAATAATAATAATAATAATGAACACAAATTTATTTTTAAAATAACAATTAAATATACTTTCAGATCTCTCTACTTAAGAGATCAAGTGGAAAGAGGTTATTTATGCAAGCCGACGAAAAATTAACGATACTAAATAACAAGAAAAATCAGAATACTATTTTCAAAAGGGAAAGAAAATATCAAAAATTCAATAATAATAATAATAATAATCTTTAATAAATAGTAGATGGAAAACGAACAGATACACACTGATAATCTAAAACAGATAATGAAAGCTTGCTTGATATATTCAGTTGGATTGTTTAATTGATACCATCTCAACTAGTTAATTAGCATTTAGAAAAGAAAGTTAATAATAAAATGAGATTAATGGATCATATATCTTTTTCTCTCTCTCGCTCCCTCCAGTTATGAATAAACGATAAACACAGAAAGAACGATGTATTCAATATAATATCATTTCTGTTTAATTGGGTGGTTTACGAACATTTGTTTAATTTTACAGATACTTTTTGTAATAAACCAAAATTGATCAAACTATTTTAATGAAAAGTGTTAAGGAGAAAAGAAAAATGTTATTCAACCTAACACAGTCAATCAGTTACAACGTAGAACCTGGTACGTATATACATCGGTTCAAGTTGCCGTACCTCATTAGCACACCAAGATGAAAATGTCAGGAAAAATCTATGAATAACAGCGGAAATAAAAGTATCAGTGGTAATAGCGAAAATAAGGCATAAAAGAGATAACACGCAAAGAAAATATAATTTAGTGAAATAAAAACAAAAACAGTTATCAGGAATTTAGAATCTCAGGATTTGAGATGCACCTACACTATTGCAAACAATTTTGAACCATGTCATTCAATATATCTAACTATTGGTTACGATGATCACCCGAACTCCAACCAGATAAACTGCACCTAGTAACATGGCTCAGTCCAATTGTTAGTGACTTCATAGGGTGATGTCCTGTTCTGGTTTGGCTACCCCTGGATTCATCATAGCCTACCTCTATGCCAGAAAACACTGCCTGTCGAGGTAGGAGGTCGTTGGACATACCTAACACATGTCCCAACCTCACCTAACAGCGTACAAAGATTTTTACTTTTAAAACTCACCATATTCATTAATAACACGAATGCAAGATAATACAATACGAGGGATCGGTTGCTTAGTAGCTTCTACATATTCATCTATGGTACCACCAAACAGTTTAGGTTTGCCAACATTCGGTACACGAAGGACACGACGGGCTTGATGCTTACTGACTAGAGTAGATTGACTTCCAGAATGGCTGGAAAATGAAGGACTTGATACAGGTGATGATGTTACATCACAATGAGATGATGATGCAAGAATAGGTGAATTAAAAGAATCTTGATGAAAACTTTGTGAAGTAAAATTAGGAGCAGGTGGTGGAGGTGGAGGTGGTGATGATGAGAAACCACTATCGATTTTCGAATGACTAGAAGTTGGTGAAGTTGGAGATTTGAGATTTTTTGTAAAGTCTTTATTATATCCAGGTAGTTTTGGTAAAACAGGTATACCATGTCGAAGCATAGATTTCAGGTTTTGAGAAGATGGCGATGTTTGAGGTATTGATTCATGTGAGTTTGGTTGTGAAGAAGCTAGTGCATTTTGAATTTGTGCAAGTTTCACTTGCATTAATTGACAAATATGCATTTCTTGGGTATAGTGTGCAAATCTCTGACAAAAAAGTAACGAAAAACAACATTGTGGTTTCAGGAGAAATATATAATAAAAACAACTTGACAAACATTAATAGAAATTGCATAAATACCATATAGTCGATTACAACACAATAATTAATAGTAAACATAAAACTGATATGAAATGACATAAACATGTACGCTTTCAATAATAACACTGATTTTCAAAGACTCTAAAAGTGAAGTTCACAAATTACTACAATAAAAAATGAACTTCACATAACTATGAAATAAAAAAATATAGCTCCTGGAGATCACAACAAAATAGGAAGAAAAATAAAATGCTTAGTCTCCCTCATTTTCTTTGTTAATTTCATTTAGTAAACAAAAAATCACTGGGAGAAATTCTAGAGTAGATATACACAAAGAACACTGAAAATCTTATTTTCACCAAATAAATCAGTATTAGATTAACTGTAATTGTAATGAACGCGAACTCAGGTGGATATAACCAAATTATTGTTTAATGCAAAATTACAGCGTGGTTACACTAAAATATGAAAATCATACATTAAATACATAATTTGCACATCTCCCAACACTTGTCATTTAAGTGCTTCATGATTCTTTTAATTCTGCTGTTATTACAAATGTTCTCTGTTTACATTCCTGTTCTCTCCAATTCAATCTGCTGACAGGCATTTTACATCCGATTGGCGGCTACATACTACTTATATCTGTCAGCATAAGTAGAATATACCGCATAAATTTCTGAACAAAATGTGTAATTTTAAATATTTGGACTATTGAAAATTTACAAGTTTCTGGCTAGAAACGATTAGACAATTTAATTTATCTCAATTTTGAGACCGATTATCAAATTAATATTAATAGACAGTTATTAATATATATTCTGTACACATAATGAAAATAGAATTATTTAAATATAATAAATAGATAAATGCTGCTATGAAAAGATCTTGCTTAATTATTTATAAGAAGTACATCAATGTATACACATTTGTTAAACTGAGAAGTAAATGTGCTTGGCATAGACACTGAGTAATTCAGACATTTAACTTTCAAATTGATAGGTTATTAATATAAAACCTTTTCTACGCCCCTACCACAATTAGAATAATCGAATGACATTGTAATTATTGAATTTCATATTGAAAAATATGGTTTAACATTATATACAGCCGTATAGATAGGCTTAATTAAACATTCCACTAATAAATAGGTTGCATTTATCGCAGACTGATTCAAGTTGAAATATCATTGAAAATCAACACAGTATAACACAATTAAATTTATGATAGCAATGTTATTCAACAAAATACTAACAATAATTTTGTTTTGTATGATATTTAAATAGAATAAGGTCGAAATTTCAACATGAAATATTACAACTACTTAGATAGTTATATTGTAGTCGTGTAGTATAACCAGTGCTTTTACGAAATGATCTGTAAATCAGTATTTACGAAGACTGAAAAAGTCAAGTGGAGAAACCCATTTCAGTTTAAGATCTGTTGTTATATCATTAACTAGATGCTTCATGTTAATTTTTCAGTTAATAGAAATGACACCAGGTCATAAAGAATGTAAATAGATACTATGGCTGCTACTTTGACGTGGTGGTCGGGTTCGCCTATCTGGATGACTCGACCGAACTCTATTGGACGGAATGCAGGATTCTTAAAGTCCTACTATGCAAGTGAGGTCTGTTGAAGAACTTTAACACTAAAAGCAGCAAACCCAAGTGGTGGTAAGGCCGCTTGAAGCGCAGAGATAACAAACCAAAGAAGTTCCACAAAAAATTCATGCGCGACCAGCCCTAAGCAGTTTTCTTCGAGCTCTACAGTTACGCTCCCAAGTCGTTAAAATCACTATTAATCCAGTTTCCTCTTCAGGTCCCTTAAGAAGAAATATCCGACCACAGTGTGTGCAACCAGGAAGTGAAAACCACCTTCATACCTCTAAAGCACCCGAGACCACTTTATTCACAATCAAATCCCTCCCCCACCTCTGACTAAATATAAGTAGAGTGCGATGCATGGGACATCGCTGATAAACTAAAACACGATATTCAAAAAGATGTATTATTTGAATGGATGAAATGTAGTCAGTCATGAAATTTCAAAAAGGTCACCTTTCAGACTAATCAATAAAAGCTCAATGTTTACATTACAGATTTCCTACAACGAGTCAATGTTTCCCAATGGTTAATTTGTGTTTAGATTATCCAAAGATCTAAAAAAAACTCAAACTAGTGATTGACATGAGAGGCTTGGAACTAGTTATATATATTGAAAGGTAGGATAAATTTAAAGTGGAACATGCTTATCTTAATGCTATCTAATGGCATCAGCAATATCGTCCAACTGAGCATTTACTTCAAATATGCAAGAAATGTCCTAATCACAGAACTTCTTAAACAGTTAGGGGAGACAAAGATAGATAGACAGCTATGCCTATCTCCAGACCTCTTATCAAAACCCAGGGCCTTAAAGTGACACTATAGATGAGTCATGAATCTAACTAACATACCATAAAATGACCTCAAAATTCACCACATACACATAACAAGTGACAAATGGAGTGGTACAGAAGACAGTCATAGTAATAACAATAATAGTCATGGCCACCCTCATAAACAGTACATACCTACTTTTTCTATTCAAAATAGTGAAAATTAATAGATTATCCAACCTTTATTGAACAAGTATTAAAAAGAGGTGACAAGTCATGTTTATAACTAAGGCTGTTGTAGTCACAACAAATTATAAACAAATAGAGATAAACAAAAATGACTCATTGCTGTGATGCAAAATCTATGATATACAACATTATTTATCAGAAAAAAGCCTTAAATATACAGACTTCAATAGCAAGTGCTAGGCTATTTCAAAATGATTAGAAAGGTGAGTATTCCTACAACAATAACCAGACAACTTGTGATACTTATGAAGGTTGAATAGTTAGGCCAATTTACAGATGAAGTGGAAATTCTTGATCTAATTAGTCATTTAGTGAAAATGGCAGTTTCTGAAACACTAATAAAACTAGAGATAGTACACATAAGTGACTTACTCCATATTGAAGGAACTATATATCGTATACACGAATGGAGGCGTTTAACGTCAATCAGTCAGTCGCAACGTAAAACCTAGGACATATGTACATCTATTGAAGATGCCATAATATATCACTGACACGGAGTTAAAATCCTTAAGCTAAGTCCCAAAGTGAAAGAGATAGTAACAGTACCAGTGCTAATAGAAAATATTAGGCCTTGAAGATACGACTCGACAAAATACAAATTAGTGAAACGAGAAAAAAAAATCGCGCCACCGATGCTAATGATTCGAGGCTTTTCACGATTTGCAATATGAAATCATTCTGAGATAAAACCCAAATTAAAAAATCAATTAAACTGTCCAATTCTACTTACATCTAAATAAAACTTCTCTTGTTCAATTCTAGAATCACGAAACAATGACCTGAGACGAAGATATAAACCAGCTTGAGTTGGATCGTTCCCACCAAATGTAGTTGAACCTGAATGATTAGTCTGTGAAACAGTTGATAAATTAGAAGTATCCTGTAAACTACTGTCTTGATTCACGATAGCTGTTGAACTAGGCAACAAACCAGGGCTTGTACTCCGGCCACTTGTAGATAATATCTGTTGATTAGAATGTACATTTGCAGCACAGATTGTACCAGGAGAAGAAGACGAAGATGAAGTAATAGAACCAGTTCCAATACTACCCATACTACTTCCTAAAGGGTTAGAAGTTGTTAAGTTATTCGACACACCAGCCGAAGCACCACCACCAACACCAACAAGTGAACGTCTTGAACGAGGCTTTTCAATGCAAAACAACCGTGAGACATCATAGTCTTTCTGATTAATTAATTCTAATAACTTCTTTTCAACCTAGAAATAACAAGATTTAAAAAATGAGGTTACAATTAATGAGATGCAAAACTATCAGCATAAAATCAATAATGAGTATCGTACCTGAATAATATAGAGAAAGTATAGCTAATCATATGTGAAAAATTGTAAGTTATAGAAATTAATTAATTTAGACTAGTTTGAAATAAAAATTTAATGAAAGTCAAACAGAAGTAGTTAGACGGTAATAACAAAAATGATGTTAGTTGCCAGTTTATAAAGATCGTTACTCAAAATCATGTATTTCAGCTGCGATTGTCCATTAGGTAAAAACATGTAGTAATAAAATTTAGTAATAAGACAGTAAATATTCTTGAGAAAAATTAGAATTAGAATTCACAAGTTTAAGTAGTCAACTTAAATTTTAAAATGGCGAGTTTGAGATCCCTCTATGTAATTCGGTTTAAGATCTTGGTTATAATCTCTAACATTTATCCTGTGCCCAACCTAAAGCCTCATATGCAAACTTAAATTTAGTTAAGTCGCAGATTGAAATAACATATATAGAATCACGCAGATTCGCGATCGTATCAAACAATTTGCTATCTTTATCTTTTATCTTAACCCTGACTTCAGTACTACACATCTGCTAGTTCTACAATACACGATCAACGCTTAGAAATCTATAATAACACCTTCAAAAACCCATATAATTCATGTGATAAACATTCAAGTATAATTATCCTACTATTTATATCTAGAATATTGGTCGCTGTCATACAATGGATAGTGGAAACCGAATGATTTCCAACTAAATTTCTAATTATTTGGATTATCCCGTTATTTATATTTTGACTGAAAACTGATCAGTCTTGGTTGGTACATTTGGATTCTTTGTAGATTGCTTTGATATGTCCATTACGAAACGTTCAAACAGACTACATTCACATAATGGAAGTATGCTAATACCGATCAAGTTTCAATTAAAATACTAACAATGGGATAATCTGAACAATTACAAATTAAACTAACATTCACACTCGTTGTAAAAATGAGTGGTTATGTGGAGTTGGTAGCTAAGTGGATAACCCGGTGACCCCTGAAGTAAAAGGTGAACGTCAAATTTTTGATGGAGGTACAATCAGCTGACGAGTCCGAAACCAGACGAAACCTGCGCCATGGATTCTACTGCTAGATAAATCCCATCCATTCTAATATAAACATCGGGTTTCATGATTGTATCGATAAAGGATTTACTCCCTGCCCCAAGAGAGAATCTCAGTCACACGGTTTTCAAACAAACAATCACTGCCTTACTTAACATCATGACCGCCTTTTAATTATTAAACAAAACGGATTTTTAAACTCATCTTTGAAAAAAACGGGTCAAAAAAAGTTTGGCGATATTCCGAACATCCTTAATAAAAACTCCATCAGACTAACAGAAGCACATTATCTTATCGTCATCTTAGATGGTGAAGCGCTGTTCAAAAGCTTTATATTTTCCCCGTATGACAGTCAGATAAACAATAAAACGAAACTGATCCCCTATTATATATTCCACTTTCAATAGGTATGTAGACAAACAAATAAGGGTTCTAACTATAACGTGCAATAAAGAAAGAAAAAGCTAAACTCAACGTTATGGTACAATTATAATGGAATATCTAAGTGAGTGCATTCACTGAGATAAGGATCATAAAAATAATTTTGAAACAGCACAACTTAGTGTAGATAACACAATAAATGCAGTTTAAAAGAAAAAAAACAACAGCGAAAACAATATTCCTACGAAATTTATAGTTAATTATTTTTGCTTTCTAATAAATACGCACTGGTTTAATAATTTATCCATTAAAAAAGGCTCTGACAACAAACAACTTCAACATAGAAAAAAATGAATGAAAATATCGTTAATAATTTGTATAGGTTTATTCATAGTCTAGTGGTATCTGCCTGACTGATTATAAATTATAACATTGAAATTGACAATAATAGACTTAGTAATAACCCTGTCTAACGGAAGATTTCGATCGATAAAATATCCCATCTTACAGATCCAATACATACATACAAGCAAACAGATTTAAGCAAGACCTAATGATTAGCTAGAAAGGTGAATTTTAGTGGCTTGTTAATTGCTAGATGATTTTCACTAAAGACAGGAATAAGAAAGATAAGAAATCAATGAATATCAGTGAGTAATAAACATTTGTTTCAATTTAATTTGGAGCTCATTTGAAAAATGTGTATCCATACACATTCGGATATCATGACCAGTATGATACATTTAGACTATTGGGTTGAAATCTGAATCCAAATAGAAATAAATCCCACAAAATTATCCAAGAGCATACGACTACTCCCAGGGAAGTCTTACTCACTGCCTTCTCGTGGCATCACTGTTGTTTACGAAACGGATAGGGTGAAAAGCGAATGTTCGGCGCTTCAACCGGGTCGGTGGATACGAAGGATCCGCCTAGGGGAGTTAGAAAACCTTGACTCTGAACCAATAGTGCACACTGGATCCAGGATCCTGAAGGAACAAATGACGTATGAACCTATTGTTGGTCACCAGCTACCATGGGACTGCATCTCCTTACATTGCTCGATCGCCTTGTTGATCAGACCATTAAGCCGAATGCGCCGGGCGTGGTCCCTTAAGAAAATCACCTGCTTCAGTCTGGGAATGATTTGTGTGGTGCATATCTATTTGGTGCTTCCTTGTACCAATGTTTATGTTTAAGTAAATAATAAAAATAAATTTATCCATTATATTTTAACAGATTTACCACACGGGTTACGTTGATATTTTTGGTACACATATCAACAAACCTGATCCTTGAGCTCATAAGATAAAAGGTTATTATAAAGTTACATTCGACATACTGCGAGAGAAATTTCTCAAAGCCTTTTTTATCTCGTTCACCTATTTTGTGAAATAATAAATTACCAATGACGTGGGATGAGGGTTTTATTGCATAATAAATTGATTGAAGTTAGAAATGTAAACTATTGTGTTGCAAATTTATCATTTAAAAAACACGTTATACTGGTCAAGCCGGTTGAATCCTGATAGACAGGTGTTTATTACTAAGTGATCGCAAATAAAATCCACAAAAAACAATTAACTAATATCCCCTAAGTTCTCAATAACTCTCTAGCTGATGACAACCTATTGAGGAAAATTCCATTCAAAACACTAGGGTATATTTTGATGTCGGTTCATAATTTTTTGATTGATTGTAAAAAGTAAAAAAAAACTAAGTACCTACAAACTACTAACAAGCAATAATTGTAAGAGAACAATGGTATTATTTAGTTCGTATCGCTGAAAAGATAAAATCCGATTGATCAGATCAACTGAAAAATGTGAAGAAATGTACGAATTAACACAGCAATCTAATTTAATCGAAACATATACATAGAAACAAAATAAAAAATCACCTCTTCTAGTGTCTTCCAAGTTTCATCTGTCGATACACGGAGTGCTTCGATACTAGCCGTAAGTTGACTAGCTGTTGTTTGAAGTTCATCATACAATGGACCATCTGGACGAATATGATCTTCCTATGAAAATATAGTTTATATAAATACAAAATGTACTCATCATTAAGCGAACCTAAAAACTGACTTTATTTCAAGTAAATAGTAAATCCAGTTATACAAGAATATATAAAAAATAATATGTAAAAATATTTACTCATATTGTTTTACAATCATCGCTAAACTAAACGCACATATAAATAAACATTATTGAGAGTACAATAACACAATATTTATAATGACCAGTAGTTCGACGTCAAGTTATCTTATCAACTATCCTAAATAACGAAAGTAGTAATAAATTGAAAACAATACACTTACAATTACAATTCCTCTAATACGTTATTGTCTCAGAAGAAAAAATACATAACAGCGACAAACTACCGTATAACATAGTTTAATCAGTCTACATGAATGATAAATAATAATCAGATGAAAATTGTTTAGCTAGTTTAATAAGTACAACTTTTATGCACACAAAATTTAAGCCATACTATATCAATAATTTGCTAGAGATACTATCTACTTGTTTTAACTACAATAGGTGAGTGGGTGATTCGAAATTATAACCTACAGGTAGAAAAATGAGTGCGTTAATAACTAAACCATCAACTTTCCTTTCATTTCTGTCTGAGTGGAACGGCTTTCAACTTCACCTACTACGGTTCTAGAAACTGGGTAGTATTCAAAAGATCTCGCAAATTAAGTGTGACTGAAGGCCATAAGTACATGGATCAACATTTGTTAGTGAGTTAATAATAATAATAAATTCTTCCAAATTACTTTTTGCGAATCTACAGACTATGGAAAACTTTTTTACCGAATTTAGCACGATTGGCAAATTACGAAAGACAAATAATACAGAGAAATGCTGATAATTGAATAAATACCAAAAAGCACTTCAAAAAATTTAATTATATACAAACACAACCAGATAAGCCTAAATACATAACACACTGATTTATTTAATGATTCAAGATATCAATATTAAAAGCAGTTTCCTATTATTTAAGATCCAGTACATATTTACAATATATAAATACATATAAGTTGAAAAGTAATAAAAAATATATTTATTAGTTTGCACTGTGATTTTCCGTTAAAAAATTAAGAAGAAAGAGAATCATGAGTGCATCACTTAAGTACTACACCTTATACTAATATGTAGAGAAAATATTCACCTAAAAACACCGTTAAAAATTTCAAAAGGTCAAAAACACAAACCAAATAAATTACATGACTGAAACTACTACACTCATAAAAAATATTTCAGTAAAGATGGGAAATGGTTAAAATGAAAGTCAGTCAGTCAGTCAGCTACAACGTAGGACCAGGCACATATTTGCATCAATCCAAGTCCCTATACCTCATTAGCACAACAAGATGAACACCGAATCCATATAAGTAGCTAGTTCAATGGTAGAAATATATAAAAGATTGTGTGAAAGGATATAGTACAGGAAGAAACAATTAGTCCGTAGAAAGAAAGATATGAAGCGATTTTAATCTCAAAGTATAAGGAAAGACAGAGTGGTCGATGCAGCCACGACCAGGTCTGAAGCCAGCTTGATTCTCTCGTGTTTGAAGTTCACGAGTCTTAGTTAAGCGTCTGATAATTATCGAGGATAGTATTTTAGATATTATATTAGTTAAACTAATCCCTCTATGGTTGTCACAGGATGGTTTTAACCCTCTCTTATATATTCGGACGATAAGTGATTGTGACCAGTCAGATGGAATAATGTCTAACTCCCAGATCTTAGCTAAAATATCAGTCAACCTAATCGCTAAAATTGGACCACCATCCTTAAACACCTCTGAAGCCAATCCGTCTGGACCAGCTGCCCTTCCTCGTTTCAGATTAACTATAGCCTTTCGAAGTTCTGCTAGAGTTGGGGGACCTACTTCAATGTTCCATTCACACTGTCTGGGAATGGAGGGTAGTTGTAGAGTAGCTGAAGGCCAGCTGAACTGTTCTCTGAAATGTTCCACCCATCGTTCTAAACGTCTGCACCGAGAGCAGATGAGGGTGTCGTCTCTTTCCGAAATAGTCTCACTTAAACTTGACTTATTAATTCCAGTTTCTTTTATTAGTCTGTAGGGCTGTCTTGTGTTCCCTATAGCCGCCGCCTTTTCCATCTCTTTTGCTTTCGTTGCCCACCACTGCTCACTGTCGTTCCTTAGACTTTTGTTTAACCTAGATCTGATTTGTTGTCGCTCTTCAGAGCCTGAGGGGATGAGTTTACGAGAATTCATCAGTGTAATAGACCTTGAGGAAATCCATTGGTTCTTTGTAACCCTTTGGTTTAAATCCCTAACAGATGTCACTGCTGTTTCCATAGCTGCTTGTATAGCTTTCCAAGCAACACCTGGATCAACCACGTATTCAGAACTACCTAAGTGTGACCTCAGTTGTTCCTGGAACCTACTCTCGGTTTTCTCGCTACTCAATTCAGTTCTAATGGCTCTTTTTAGTGTGGCTTTTTTGCGTTCAGTGAGGCGCAAGTAGATGCGTGCCCGTATTAGGGCGTGGTCGGAGTCTAAGCAGGTACTCTAGAATGAGCGACAATCTTCTATCTTCTTCTACGTGTACTATGTCTGAACGTTCAGCTTTCTGTAAAATCCATCTTTCACTTCATCCAGGCTGCAGTCAGTGCAAGCGTAAGCAGAAACGATGAAAAGGCAACGATGTGTGTCCCTGTACGTCCGCATTCTTACGGAGCCGTTTAGCCGAAGAGCACATAGACGACTGTTAACGAGGATCCACTCTAATAGTGCTTGTTCTACCCTCGTATGTAGTGCTATGCACACACCTACCAGTTCACGAGAACTAGCCATCAGGTGGCCAGATACACGGAGGCTGTATCTCGTCGGCTCTCCGTTTTGCCCAGGTGAGGTCAAGTGAATGACCACACTGAGATCCTGTATGCGTGTTTCGGAGACACAGCATACATCAATGGTACGAGATTCTAGGGTTTTAGCCAAGGAGACCTGATGGCCAATTTGATATAGAGTGAGTACGTTGAAGGCTCCAATGTGTAGTTTGGAGCGAGGTTTCAGTAGACTTGAGACAGTGTTTTGCACACTAGAATTGTTGGCTATAGTGAAACTTGAGGGGGAAGCCGAAAGAGGAAGTTTAGAGTTGAAAGTCGATGTAGGAGGAATAATAGGAATTGGGGAGGGAGGTTGATTATGAATACAGTGGTCTTGAGTGCTGTTAGAGGTATGAAGGCGGTTATCACTTCCCGGATGCCCACACCGTGGAAGGGTTCTTTTGGAGGTACCTGAAAAGGAAATTAGATTAGAGGTGGTCTTAGGGACCTGAGAGCGTGACTGCAATCCCCAAGGGACAACTGCTTGAGGTCGGTCACACACGACCTTTTTATGGGCAATTTTTGTGTTAGCTCCGTACTTTTTGGGACCTTACGCCGGAGACGGATATCCGTGGGATAAGGTGAGGTGTGCATTTTAGGGTCGACCTTTACTAACCTCACCCCTCCTTGTGGGAAGGCAGCATCGCTGTCATGCTGGTTGTCTGAAGGAAACACCTTACTGCTGTCACACCTCTGTACAGTCAGCAGTACGACTTCGCCTTCGGATCTTGGGTTTGTTGCTTTTAGTCTTACCGCTCTTCAACCAACCTGTCTGACATGGCAGGACCTTGGTGAACGGTTATTCCAGCCAGTATAGCTCAGGTGTTTCATCACGATAGGCAAGCCGGACCACCACGTCAAGGTAACAACAACGGTGAAAGAAAATACAACTATAATTACAACCACCAATACAAATGGTACCATTATGTATTACTATTAATTGACAAACGAAAGCATCTAGGAGAGTGTGGTCATTATTACAAATACTGAAATTTACAACACAATAAAATCTCATGAAAAAAATTAAAATCAGAAAACATATATGGTTATTTTAATTCGGCATCCCATGAAATAAGGGTCTGATAGCTAGAATATTAAAGATAAACTTGGAATCATCATTGTGGAATGAACATTGTTACTTAACGGGATACTAATAAATACAACTGACGAATCGAATGTATAGAGAGAAACATATATTTTGAAACTAAATGTAAAACAATATCCAAGTTTAATACCATAAAAAAATTTAATGTGAAAATTATTCATCAATCAGATATTCATTCATTTTATTAACTAACTAATCAAAATACAATACTTATGTAGATTAATCGAATAGAATTCAATGAGAGCTTTTTGTTTAAACAATAACAATAACAACATTGTCGTCATAGTTACCAGTGATAATTGTCAAAATCAATTACACGCAAAGTTAATCGAAACACAACAATATAGATAACATATACACTTACAATATCTTCTTTGGATGGCATAAATTTAAAATAACCCGGACGTGTATACACTTGTTCGTTACGTTTGAAAAAGCATGCTTTATCTTGTCGTAAATCAAGTGCTGTAATATTTCTATTTAACATTTCAACAATTGAACCATGACATGATTTCAATGTTTCTTCACAACTTAAATGCATCATTGCTGAACGCGCCAGACTATTATGAAAACCACAAAATAAACACTGAAAATGAAGGAAAGAGATAAAAAAACAGGGAAACTAAGACGTGAAAAAAGTTCAATAGATATATACATACGACGAATAATGTTTTTAAATGCGTGTGAATGGCAAAATAACTGCAATAATAAAATAAATGAGACAGAAACTAATTAAAATGTGGTTTTCAGGTGGAATTTATTTAAACATAAGTAAAAAACACTAGGCAGCTATAGAAGAAGTTGAATAAACAAGAAAACAGGTGGGGACAACCGATTATGCCTAGATAAGAATTTTTATCGGCGTCCGACAATGTTGGTCTTTCTTGACTTAAAAGCAGCATGTGATTCTGTAGACCGAGTGGGTCTGTGGCAATGTTTGTCATTAATAGGCGTACCTCAGAAGTACATAAACCTTGTGAAGGCTCTTTACTCGAACACTAATAATCGAGCTAGAGTTCATGGCGAACTGTCATCTGACTTCGCAACCCCAAGTGGTGTCCGTCAAGGCTGTCCACTTTCTCCATTTTTGTTTAACTTCATCATAGACCTACTGATGGAAATAACGCTCTGATAGACTGAATTTTCAGGCATTGATCTACTACCAGGAGGTCCACTTATCGACTTAGAATATGCAGATGATATAGTCCTGTTTGGAGAAGACGCAGATAAAATGCAGAGTCTTGATAGCACTGAGCAGCAACGCCAGAATGTTAGGGATGCGCTTCACCCCTCTAAATGCCTGGCGTGTGTCAACACCTGAATTAAGGATGGGGAGTGAAGCGGTCGAACGCGTTGATAAATTCATCTATCTTGGAAGTTTGATCAGCCCTAATGAGTTAGTGTCTGACGAAATCTCTGCACGGATTCAGAAAGTTCGTTTGACTTTTGCCAACTTACGTCACCTATAGCGAAGACGAGATATCCACCTGTCAATTAAGAGACGAGTATACTGCGCGGCAGTTCATTCTGTTCTACTTTACAGCTGCAAAGCGTGGCCATTAAAAGTAGAAGATACTCGTAAGCTACTGGTATTTGACCACAGATGCCCTAAAAATATTGCTCGCATCTTCTCGCATCACCAAGTAAGTAATAGTGAGGTTAGACGCAGGGTATTCGAGAATGATGGTAAACCAGTTGATGAGGTTGTGAATCTTCATCGACTGAGATGGTTGGGTCACGTGTTACGTATGCCTGAACACCGTTTACCACGACGCACAATGCTGACTAGTGTAGGGAGTGGTTGAAAGAAAGTTAGGAGCGGTCAAACCAAAACGTGGCATCGGTGCTTGAAGTCATTAACTTCTGGTCTGAGCCATGTTGGTAGATACTACTAAACTACTTGGTTGGGGTCCACGTGACTATCGTAACCAATGGTTGGAGACTGGGTGACATGGCTCAGAATGGATCACAGTGGCGTCAGTGTATACACTCTGTCTTTCCTTATACTTTGAGATTAAAATCGCCTCATATCTTTCTTTCTACGGACTAATTGTTTCTTCCTGTACTATATCCTTTCACACAATCTTTTATATATTTCTACCGTTGAACTAGCTACTTATATGGATTCGGTGTTCATCTTGTTGTGCTAATGAGGTATAGGGACTTGGATTGATGCAAATATGTGCCTGGTCCTACGTTGTAGCTGACTGACTGAAATACGAAATTACAGAATCTTTTGGTAAATGATGAGAACCATACACCAGATACTTTATTTGCGAATTTCCATCGTTTGTCCTTCACATCCTGTATAATTCTTGCAGTCTACACTTACTGTCTATTCTCTTCAACTCGGTCTGCTTAGCATTCTGATGCCAGGTTTTCCATTTCCGATGGATGTCGCATACTACTTACGTCTGTCGACATAAGTAGCATACACCACAGTAGTAAATAAGTTATTATGATTTAAATAAATTGACAAAATTATTCAATTGAAACCCTAAGTTAGTCAGTCAGTCAGCCATAATCAACGTACAGGCTAGCTACATATGTGCACTGGCCCAAGTTGCTATACCACAACAACACAATGAAATTAAATTTACAAGATGAATGGTTAGCGTTAGATATATCGACCATAGGATGGTATATCTGATGAACTGTGGCGAAAAAACAAGACCAACAATGATTTGTACGTAATGGCAAACAGTAACCTAGCGGATTAACATTTATTATTCAGATACTGATAAAATACACGTAAAATAATTGATTTTAAATTAAATTAACTCATTCATCAAGTACTCGGCTGTGAGTTACACTCTACGAGTGAGGATTAATGATGATACTTATCCGGTTGTCCAAACCGACGTGTCTAGAAACTGGGACTTGTTGGACGGAAATCGGCAGCTATAAGAGCTAGGCCACTGCTTTACTGATGATAGTAACTTATTAGAAAAGGTGACACTTATCACAATTAGTTTCCTAGGAGACAGTGATAAGAGGAAGTCAGTATTTCGGTCCTCTTAGTCGGGATTGGGTAAGCAAAAACACAAGTCACTTGATTAACAATTTTTCAGTAGTTTATACACCAATCAGTCAGTCACAAACAAAGTAGAACCTGATACAGATGTCCATCTGAACTAATCAACTAATTAACTGTTTAAATACCATTATTAGTGTTTAGATCATACATACTCGATAGTGCTTACAACATCCCCTTAGTCACTAATATCGAGTGATAAACTGTTTTATATAAACGAAAAAAATAAAAGAAGATAAATCACTTGTAGAGTATATTAGAAAAGTAACTAACGCAGTTGTATGTAAAAAGAGCAGTTCATGTAAGCGGAAATTTATAAGTAATAAAATTGCTTTGAAATTCCAATAGCTGTTTCAGAACTGAATATTAACGTTTTATGTGCGACAGTAACTGACCAACGAAAATAAAAGTTTCTGTATGTAGAATTATAGACATACTTTTTTCAAATTACTTATCAGTATATCAAGCTGAAGGAGATGGAGGTGGAGAAGGTAAATTAGTGACTAGAAGTTAAACGTCCTAACCACTGAGTCACTGCTCCGCCTATGTTAATTAATTACTGTCTTGTTGATGTGAGAGAATTTGAAAGTTTAGAGATTATGTATCCTATTCTTGATAAAATAGATATAATCCATGTTACCACGCTCGTGTTATCAATAAAACTTGACAAATATTATTCATCAATCAATGGTAATTGTTCTTTCTATTATTATCTGGACATTGACATTATAATGCTTTTTCTGTTTAATTCTGAGAAAAAAATTTTTAAGACCACTTAGTGCTTTTATCCATTATGCATATTCTCGAAGAAGATTCTTCTCATGAAATGAAACTTCTCACAAATTCAGTGGATCCAATTTCTTGATATTCTCTGTTGATGAACACTGTCTTTATAATTAACATTGTATCTTTTCCATCGAGAACGAATGACATATTAGCTAGGAGAATCGTTATTTTACTAGAATAATGTGCTGAAAAAACTTACACCATTAACCACTATACTACGGTGGAATGATGGGCGAAATCAGCAAATTATTCATGTTGGCGAACGCCTTAAATAGCAGTTAACATCTGCTACCTTGAAGGACGTGATCGCACTAATATATATATATATATATATATATATATATGACATTACCTCAACTATATCCGGCGCCTCTTGAGTGAAATAACGTTGAACACTGTGATTAGTGGCAGCCAACTGTATTAAATATTCATTTCGTGCACGAGTTGTTGATAAATTCGCATTGATATAATTCGCTTGTTTCTATCATACAACAACACATTAAGATATTATAATAATAATATATATATATATATATAACATTTATTCTCATCATCTTATAAGGTGAATCAAAAACATGAAAATCCTTGATTCAATATGAATAATAATGTGAATAATATGCATGTTCCGTTTGTTGATAAAATCGACCACATCATGTTTACTTAGCTAGATGATCTCAAGAGAAAAATCAATCTCTATAATGTTAATCTTTCTAAGCAAAATTTTGGAAAAATAGATGATAGATCTCACTATAGTGTCCCTTCTATAGCTGATCGACCACTATAGCCAATTCAACGTATTGTTCGTATGACTCATGTAAAGACAGCTTGGGCATATACGATACGCAAAATCATTAAACATTCGGTTTAAATGACGGTATTTTAATTTAGATTGATGAATACACACAGACCATGTTCATCTAAAGATTAGTCGCTAGTTCATGAGACATTCAACATTCATCATGTTCAAATCAATTTAAAGATGAGAATAGCGTCTTATTAATTTAACAGAAAAATATCGAAAGTTTAAATAACTCGTCAAAGGGATTTCTTATTTCCTAACTTTACCTTTTTTTAATTATTCACAATGAAGGGAAAAAATATGCTACTTAAGATAAATTGAAATTCTATATGAAGAAATGAGTCATTGGTGTATAACATAAATGTCATTCTAGACTGGAATGTGTACATAATTGCGTCGACCTGCAACATGCACATTAGATTGACAACATACTTCCGATGACAGACTACAATAAACAAATTTTACAAATATTTCGCATCGTTCTTGACTTTTCAACACAAAGTAAGCAGGAAATAGTCAATGTCAAATACATAGAATTGTTTAACATCACGGATATTTTATATTTTAAATTTTACTACTATTCAACATCAATTAAACTTGGAAGATACCCTTTAAGACACCACAAAAAAGTACGACAATCGCAAGTTTTATTATCTCTAAAATGATTTCTTTACGTTATTTCGTAAAATAGCGTTAGCTCAATGCCAAAACCTCCATTCTTTTAGACAACTGAATTGTAAATTTATACTGAATTTATATCTGTTTTGATCTGAGTGATCAAATAGTGTTTTCTGACTTGACAAAACAAATTTAGTTTCAAGCATTTCTGGACTCATTGGAAACTTGGTAACTAAGATTAAAAGTTTACATTATTATGATGAGAGAACATTTACTCGCTTAGTTTGAGAGACCATATTTACCATGCACACGAATCGGAAGAATAAAAGTAAAGAAAAATTCGACAATGTCATTAATGACAACCGTACAAAAGTACAGTAAAATAGACAGATATTGGCTAATTTAGGCCTCGAAAATACAGAGTGAATTCAATTTTTCTTCTGAACCAAAGGCATTCAGCTTTAAAAATTCGTAGACCCCCGACCACTCAATGTTAGTTTTCTGTGCATCAATATTTCTGAAGAAATGCTGAGTCTTCGTTTCTCAATGTTGTAACAGGATTATTTCAATTAAATAAATAAGAATTGAGATCCATATGATTCTTTCAAGTGCAGAAAATATGAGATTGAACAACTATTCGTGCTTTTTCGGTTACCAACTTCAAACAAATCTTTAGTTGAGTATACACAAATGAACAAGAATAACTCACGTTAATCATGCTGTTTAATAATAAAAAAGATTTTTATAATGGCATGATGAAATGTATTAGGCAAACTAATACAACTTAATAAACCAGATAGATTTTCACTTCTAAGTACTTCTTGGAAACTTCAGCGTATTGATTGTTCATACAACTACCGAAGGAAAGATAGCTTTTGTAACAAATCGTATAAATTGTATGCTTTATTTATTGTTAACTTTCCAACTTAACTTATCCAATGTTAACATCTCTTCAGATGAATGGTTAGAAATTTTTTTTATCCATTATTGACATACAATGTGAAAAATAGAAATATCTGTACATCCTTCTTTATATGAACAGTAAAAGTAAGGATAAGATAAATAATACAAGTGCAAAAAAGCAAGCAAAGAAAGAGAAAATAAACAGGTTCAAAATGTTCAGTACAAATCATCTTTGGTATATCGATAGAAAATAACCAAACAATAACACCGAAGATTATGATTAAGAATAAATACATTTTATGAATCCATAATCTAGTTCCATACAAAAAATCAATCGTAGGTGGAATAATTTGATGCATAGACAGAGAGAGAAGACAGACTGATTAGGTAACTTTGTAGAAAGCAAAAGCTGAGCGACAAAGGGAATAGGAATAATCAGTGATAAACAATGTATATAGGTGAAAAAGTCGACAAAAAGTTATTCATGACATGATGCAAACTGGAGTACTCTACACCACTAAATGAGGTTCTGCTTTGTTTAAGCACCGTTTTGCTTTCGTATTGTACTACGAAAAAAATAACGGCCCTTCTATTTCAATTTCTTCAGTTGTTATGTTACACATTAGCGTACATCCGTTTTCAGAATAGTTATTGGGATCTAACAACATACCTACATATTAAAACCAAACATTAAAATGAGAATATGAAAGTAAAAAAACTTGGAAATCGCATACATAAAACCACTAAAATAAATTTCTCATTGTAAGTAGGCACTCTCATACAACACTGAAGGAAAAAAACATTGTGAGAAAGAAAAAGAAATTATATATTATCCATCTAAAATCAAATCTATTATCATGATATAAGCAAAAGTGTTATTATATCTGTGCACTAACCAAGTCGAATTCATTTTGAGCTCGCATAGACCGTTGACTATTATCAGGATCTTTGCCTTTACTACGGGCTTTTTGATTAGCAGCTAACAGTTTATCTTCAGCACGACGACGGATTCGATCAGCCTCTAATGCTGCGGCTTGTCTATGTGCATATTCACGTTGATCGGCCTGGAGTTTAGTAGTATTGGCTAAAACACGATCTTGACATGAGGACATCATTTCACGACACTACACAAATAAAATACAAACATATATATCTTTTATCAACTATACAAATAAAACGAAAACGTTTCACTGACATTAAATTAGAACGAAAATCGGGCTAGATGCTTTTTACATAGTTCGATGATAATTGAAAAAAATTGCAAATAATTAATCAGACTTTCAAATGGCATTTGTCACGGAGTGACCTCAGTTGAGATACTGTGGAAAAACAAGGAACGTTAGACAGCTGTTTCGTCTCAGTATAGGACTTCTCGAGAGTAAACATCCATGACTCTGTCGGTGATCAGATGCAAAACCCTTAGGTTTCGCGATCAGCGCTTAACTATTATATTAATAAGTTAGTATCTACTGGTACATATTTCCAACCTTAACCAATCCATCATATAACACGATGTTTACTCACAATTTAGGTCAGTCTGTAACATGAACCACGTTCAATTTCAACCGATCTTTACAAAAGCTATGAATATCATAATCGTGGCTTGAGATAACCCCCTGAAATTTCAGTGATAAATTGTGACCGGTAAAATCAAATGATGTTACGAATGAAACCGTACCCATCAATTTCATTGAGTGATCATCGCGCTACATTATGAATCGATTGAAGTTGAAAATATGTACCACTAGATGCCAATCTAGAAGCACATTGGTTAGAAGCTTGCTATGAGCATTCAAAGTCCCGGGGTTGATTTTCGGAAGGTTGGTATATATCCACGTCTGAGTTCTTCACAAAGACGAAACAGACGTCAAATGCTACTTGGTTTTCAATGGTACCCTGAATAAAATCAATACATGACGAATATTACTTACAAGCCAAACCAATCACCATAAAATCCCTTCATTAATTGAGTACATTGTTACAGTGACATACATAGATTTGCTATTATTTTAACTATCTAAAGTAATATTATGTAGAAAAATGTTTAGTTCCCTAGTTTTAAAGGTACGATGAGATCAAATAAACCAAAATCCAACACTAACAACTTCTCCAGACATAGTATTCCCCACTTTCTGAAGTTACTGTGTATTTACCTACAGATTTGAATGGTTAATTATCACTTTAAAACTACTATTAAGAAGATTACTATTATATTTGTTATTCTTTCTTACACATTCACTCCTAACGTTTACAGAAAAAGTAAGATCATTGCTAAACTAAGTAATTTTGGCATATTTTACAACAGCTAACATATACAATTTCAGATTTTACAATAATGATTAAATATCATTCAAAGTCTCAACGTTCGCCTGACTGAAACATACAGCTATCTGCTTTTCGTTGACTGTAGCCAATAATCCTACAATTACAAAAATGCACATATATAGCGATAGCTCCATTTCTATTTACATTTCATACAGTCCCCATGACTAATACAGACCAGGTGAATCACAGAAACAGGCAAAGTATGATTATAATTGCACAACCTACACAAATCAAGAAGGTAAATATTTCTATAAGAATTTCACTTTCACACGTTTATCGAATAAACAATTAAGACAATATATTGGTTCATGTGAAATACAATGAATTTTATGAAATATTATCGGTAAGTTTAAAACTATTATGTAATGCAGAAAAAAGCAAATAAATAAAATCACTGTGATGTGATTGGGCAAGAATTAAACCTGATAGTCAGGGATTAATTCTACTGAAAATTGAGTGATCTAAAGTTGTCATATCTTTCAATCCTGTTTGTTGAATGACTCCTAATAAGGTTTATTCTAGAGTTCAATATTTGGTATGTCATCTTAGGTGGAGTTTTGTTCTCTGAGCTGGGTGGTTTGGTTGTTGGTTCATCTAGAAAACATCACCAACACAAAATTCTCCCTGACGTCGGGGTTGATGATGTTGTTCGGACGAACAACCCAAGCTCTATGACTAAACCATCCAGATCAGAGAAAACGCAACCTGAATAATCCACCTGAACTACAAATCGGTGAAACTATAATTTATGGACGACCTTTGAGCGACGCTAAAGTGACCTTGGGAGTGCTCACTCGATAACAAGTCCAAATGAGTGCTATAAACAAGCGTGAGGAATTATGATTTACTATGATTTACAGTTGTTAGGGTTAGGAATTAGATTTAGGGTTGTCATCACGAACTGATATCAGCTATAATGCTAAAACTCTATTTAGCCAAATGGATGGGTGAATTTCGCACCAAAATCTGACACCTGATATCTTATACCTGATTGGTTCGTCCATAAATTATAGTCTCGCCGTTTTGACTAATCGAGTGATAACATTCTGGTAAAAAATGGGTGGGTGTTGATATAAAGGTTAAAACACCAAATTCCTTAACTTTGGGATGGATTTGGATAGCTGAGTAGTTTATCACCACCCTTCATGATTTTGTATTCGATTAGTGAGTTTCACCGAAAATAATTATATATTTCAATAAGTACAGGGGATAGATTTTCTATTTAAACTATCGGGAAGCGTTTAAATTGTCAATCATTTAGAAAAAAGCTCTTTATATTAGGTTTGACAACAAAATTTATGTTGATAAGATTATAGACACAATAAGTTCAATAATGAAACTAAGTGAAAAACAGTGTTTTCTGATGGATGGATAGATAGGTGAAGAGATCAAGTTAGTCTGAACAAGAGTTTATCGATTCAAGCTTCTAAATTATTCACAGGACAAGAGGATATAAGCGAGGAACGAAAAAAGGAGAGAAAAGCGTTGAAATGAACCAGAAGGAAGAAACTGATGGACAACTTAGTGGACATTAATAAGAAGACAAGTAATCACATAACTAACTGATTCTCATTCGTCAGGTAGGCGTATTGATTTTCAATATGACAACTCCGATCTATGGATTCATTGATGCTATGCAGTTATTTTACAATATTTTGAATCAAATACAAAGCAATGATACTTTGATGAACAATTTTTGCCTAGATTACATAATTTTCATATATTAATTTCTCCTCATTATCTTGAAGAGAACAAGAACAAAGAATTGAACAGAAAAACATTAATTCATTTTATTTCGTAAGTTCCAACCTCAATTCTTTGCTATTTAACCTTTTATATAATTTTGTTGATAGTAATGTTCTTCGTGACAAAAAAGTGGTTATTTAAGTATTTCTGATATGATTATATCCATCATAATCAACAATAACTTTTGAGCATCAAGCAATGTTGTAACAAGTTAAATACAGACGTGTTCAGCTGTATTAGAATAAAAACGTCGTACACATTTCATGTTAGATTATTCTATAAAGCACTAAATATCCCGATGATCTGGTTAAAGTATAACAATAATTTTCGAGTAATTAGTATTTATTGGTTTAAGGGGTTTGTGAAGCCTGTTAAATTTCATAATTTAAATCACGAACTGAAATTGTTCAGACAACCAGTGGAAACTATGAAGCATTTGACAACTGTTTCATCTTAGGATAAGAGCATCCTACATTACATAGCCCTGGTCCATCTGCGGATCAAGCCTAAGACATTCGGGTCTTACGATGGGCACTTAACCTTTAGACCACTGAGTTGGTAACCGATCGTTTATATTCCATGGTACATCAATTAGTACTTAACCTAACTAACCAATAATTACAGGCATCCTGGAAAAAAAACAAGGAATTTTAGCGTTCCATCATTCGAAGTACAGTAACTACTGACATATCCTTTCACATGATTGAACGTATTTTAGCAACAATAAAATATTTTCTAGAATATTCAGTCTAATTCATTTCTAAATAACCAAAAACTTGACAGATGTAAAAACGTTAAATCTGGAACAAACACAGATAGGTCCGATAAGATACAATTTACAAAAAGGAGTAACAAAGGAAATTTAACTAAAAATTAAAAGAACCAAAGATAATGATACAAGTGTGGTGTATGCTACTTACGTCGACAGATATAAGTAGTATGTAACACCAACTGAAAGTGGAATTGAGAAGATCGAACTGAAGACAACAGGAATGAATGAAAGTCTCCCTTCACTACATTTTTGGGGGGATAACCAATTTATTGCCTAATGCAAAATTACAGAATGCCTCCGTGAAATGTGAAAACCATACATTAAATATATCATTTGCATATCTTATATCAGTTATCTCTTAAAAACTTCATTGTTCCTTCATTCCTGTTGTTATTACAATTATTCTGTTTACATTTCTGCTGTCTTCGGATCGATCTTCTCAATCTTCTGCTGCTATATATTCCACTACTAATTGGTGTTACATACTGTCAACGTAAGTAGCATACACCATATAAGTATTGAATTAGTGAAATCCCAAACTCCACACAGATAAAAGAAAACTAGAAATATACAATGAGTTTGAAAGAAGATATTCCTAAACATGTATCAAAACAAACATTTTTAAAATAATATGATGTGACGTCACAAGCACAAAAATTTATTGACTAAATGACTAAATGGCCCCCAAATGCCCTGGTATGGCCGAGAGTGGGGAGAGTCCGCTCTCCCTCTCCAAATGCTCTCACACGGTCATGCGTATACAGCCTCTGCCAGGGAAGTCCTACCCACTGCCTTTTCGTGGCCGGGGTTTTGTCTACGAAAATGAGAAGACAAAAAGCGAATGTCCGGCGCTTTAACCGGATTCCAAACCAATGATGCACATGGACTCCAGTATCTTGTGGGAACAAATGGAGTATGAACCAATTGTTGGTCACCGGCTTCCATGGGACTGCATCTCCTTACGATGCTCCACTACCTTGTGGACCAGACATTCAGGTCGAAGGCTCGGGGAGTGGCCCCCTAAGAAAACCACCTGGTTCGGTTTGGGCACCCGGGCAGTATCACAGCCCTCACACATATCGAATGAGATTTGTGTGGCGCATATGTATTTGGTGCCTCCTTGTACCAATATCTGTGTTAAAATAAATAAATAAATAAATAAAATGACTAACAATTACACAAGAAGACTACAACGGAACTGAAATGTGAAAAGCACATATAGGTTTCGACCCTGACAGAATGAATGAAAATTGAGTGCCTGGATAAAAAAGGGACGAAGACATAAAAAACAAAGTATCTAAAACAAGAACTAATTTACATTGCATCAAAACACTGACTTTTATATTGATTTAATTACTTTCGTTACTATTACAATTCATTCAACTGGAATCAATTCAGAAGTGAAAAATAATGGAACCAAAAAATTATTCATTTATTTTATTGTTAATGGTCATAAACATCGCCACAAATGATGATAAATACCCTAGAGGTATTCAGACAATTATATAGAATACAAAAATGTCATTAAATAGCAATATAAGTGAATGGAATGAAACTATTTTGAAATAAAAATAATCATGACCTATTTAGTTAGTAAGAAAGTGAGACTTTCACAGATTAAATAATAAGTTCTAGAATGACATTTACATATAAATATATAGTGAGTGAAATGGATTTCTTCAAAAATCATTCTCCAATAAACATAAATAAACATATCAATCAATCAACGCATCTGGATAGATAAAAATGTAAATATTCTTGACGAATTAAGTGATCATAATAATGTTCAGACACATTTACACACTTGACCATCAACTAGAAATTACTGACAAATTACATATTTCAAGGTGAAACCGTATTCGAGGTAGCAGTCACAAACTGTCGCATACTAAATAGTGAGTAATAAAGTTTTCGAAGTTTTTGATATTGAAAATGTAGCAAGGTTGATTGGTTTTAGAGCGGAAGGAAGTTATAGTAGGATAATATTTGTCAAGAATGTCATTATGATTATACTCATAAGTGAAGTTATAGTTAAGACGTTCAAATTTCAACTATAAAATGAAATAATCGAACCCCACTATTATTACCTTAATTTGTACAGTTGCAAAGAGCATCACACGACAACAACTGAAAAGTGGTTTAATGTCGATTGCATATATAAGTACATGATTACTTAGTTGAATTACTTACTTACTGATGAGGCAAACAGAAGAATAAACTTTAATTTCTCGATTTTACAAACTTAACACTATTTTCTATAAAGTTGGCGCCAAAATTTCGTGTAATTAAACTATTTATCAGAAAACTTTTATAGAAATGTAGCTCACTATTAAAGTATAAATGTTATGCACTCAGTAAATACATACATAGTGACGAAAGGTAACCAATTACAAATTCACAGCATTCGCTTAAAAAACTACTTTATCAGACCGTGAGTAGTGTAGGGAGATTCCAATTTACTGGATTATAAAAATATGTGGCTGAAGAGCGTATGTCACAAGGCTCGTGATCAAATACAATGCACAAGATATACTCACTTCTTACTTACTTACTCACGCCTGTTACTCTCAATGGAGCATAGGCCGCTGACCAGCATTCTCCATACTAACTTCTTACCAACTGAAACTTCAGTGCTTCATCTAATTATCACTCATTTTCTATTACCTACCACTTTATTTTAACATTCCTATCATTTTGTAAATTTTACCTTAATGTTTTGCTAAGAGGTATTTTACCTTGAACAATATACACTTTTATCCCACTTTCTACGCTAACAGTTCTGTGCATCAATAATTATTTGTGATTTCACTACAATATCATTTAACACTGAAACAAACAAAAAAGAATTGATAAGAAAGCCTAATGTGTATATCGTATAATATTATAAATAAATGAAATAAATTATCAAGTATATTGCAAGAACATATGAAAAAGGATGACAAAATTTGCGTAAAATCAGGCAGAAACAACTCGTGATTTGTTATGATAATATTAATAACTAATAAAACATGAAGAAAAATCATCTGATAACCTTTATTAATCTTTTTTATTTAATTCTAATTATATATACACGACAAAAGAGGATATTTTGATTTAAATTTACTGTTAAGAAGACTCCAGGTTATCTAGTTTTTGTTAATAAATGTTAATTTCTTCGTAATTATAACTGTAATAACATTTTTCTCATTCATATTTCTGCAAGACCTTTATAGTTTTCTCACTGGTTGTTATCATCTTTAGTATGTTACTTTTAGTAAGTTGCTGTATAAACAGAACTATTCCACTTCAATTTTGGCCTCTCTGACATCTGTTCATTATATAAAGATATGGTGAAAGTCAAGCCATCATTATCTCTTATGGACATGTGAATTGTTAACGTTGATGTGTTGTCGTGTGTCAGTGGCTGTAATAAAGAATTCGTATTAAATAAATTTCAACAGTTCCTAGTTAGAAATTAATGTGAATCTAACGAATCCAACAGAAAAATTACCAAGATATAACACTAATACAATAAAACAAAATATTATGCTCAAAAAAGTCAATAAAACTTTATTAATAGTCTAATTATAGTGGCTCAAATATGATATGTTGAAACAGAAAAGTTAAGCTTATTGTAATTAGTTACACACACAAAATAAAAACTTCACCTGTTTGTGCAAACGGACAGCATCTTCATCCATATCAGCTAAACGTTGAACCATTTGTTTCGAAAAAATATCAGATAAAGTTGCATGAGCTTCAGCTAGATGTAATGTTGAACCAAGTAATGTATTCCATATGGTGGTTGCTGTATAAGGCGCCCAATGAGGGCGTCTAAATATATTTTCAAAACAAGAAAGTAAGAGAAAATAATCAAACTATTATAATTTGAGGAGATTAGTTACTTCAACTGCCTTTAAAAATTCTACAAAATTTAAATAGAGCAATTAATGGAGCTACATTGTAAAAGGAGCATCTTATGTGAAAACAAAGATGAAACTTCAGTAGTAAAAAATACCTAATTAATCTAATCCTACTTTCTTTTAGAAAAACAAATGACAAAAGAAATAATGCATCAATAACATAAATCGTTAACCAGAAATTATATTATACCATGTTTTTGTTATAATTATAAAATCAAAGATAATCGGTAAAACCAAGGTTTGTAATTAACACAGATTATTATTACTATTATTATTATTATTATTATTATTATTATTATTATTATTATTATTATTAAAACACATAAACATAGGTACAAGGAGGCACCAAACGGATATGCGCCACATAAATCATTCGATTTGCGTGGGAGCTGGAATACTGTACGGGTGCCCAAACCGAAGCAGGTGGTTTTCTTAGGGGGCCACAACCCAATTAACGTAGAACCTAGGCAAAAATGAACATTAGCTCACGTTTTCATACCGTATTAACACAACAAAATAAAATTAACAAGATGAATACCAAAGGATTTGGCGTAATTGTAACACCAATGATAGTCAACAAAATTAAATAGGATGGAAAGATTTGTACGAAGGAAAATTATAACACAAGACCTAAAGGAAGATAAAGCATAAATCCATCTATATCACTATGGTTGATTCTGAACCACATCACTTGACGTCCCCAACCACGGATTATGGTTAATTTGATTATATTTTAAAGTAAAACAATAAATTTAGACTACATCGATAAATCAATTAGCTGAAGCATAAATTATACATGACTGATTAAAAGTGAAAATAAGGTGTAATTAACAACTATATATATATATATATATATATATATATATATATATATATATATATTCAGTGTTGTTACCAACTTTCCTAAAATTTAGAATTCTACTATTATTATTATTATTATTATTATTATTATTATTATTATTATTAATTTCTAAGAAATGAATTGACATTTGCACAGTGATAAAAAACACACTTTTCGATGCATAAATACTCGTTCATCATTTAACGTTTGCTGAAGATCAATACAGTGAATTAACAATATTTCTAAGACTATAATCACAGGAGAAATATTATATTTAATATTATCGAATGATACTAAACGGTGAAACTTTGTTAATAAACAAAAATACATTTTAAAATTATCATATACCTTGTTTAATTTTACAAAAATATAACATGTAATATACAATGATAAGGATGACCAGATTAAATATTCCCATAATACATAAATGAATTGAGGAAACCTGATTAAGTCATATGAAATACTGAAAGAATATAAACCATGTATGAAGTAGAAAATTACTATAAATGTATGATTAATGACAATTAACTAGGGTTCATTATGAAGCTCGTGAATGTGAACACGCAAAACTCTCAAAATAAATGATTCCAAATCATACCAATTATTTTACTGTTTCAACAACTTGATAGCGACAATGTTCACTGTCACAATTTACCCACGAAATAAGTACGACCTACTTTTTTGCAGTAGTACACTTCAATAACATCAACAGGAAATTGAGAAAAGAGGAGAGTTTGGAGAAAATTTTATCACTAAGTCAAAAGTCTGCTTTACGTAACACAATGTGTACACATGCATACAGTAAAACGAAATAACACACACTATGTGTGAATTATAGTCTAACAATTAAGTCAGAATGTGACTACCAAATCACACTCATTAAAGAACGTGACCACACATTCGATACACATTCAAATTCACGGATACATGACCAAACAACGAATTCCCTGAAGATTAAAAGACACAATAAAGTTGACTACGATAATAAAATGGCGAAATGATCGAGTTGATCATAATATACAACAATACGCTGAAACAATCATAGTATATTGCAATAATAAACTGTTTCCGAAATAACAGTTTGTTTTTAAGGATAAAAATAAACTATCAACAGACTTTACAAGAAGACGAAATTGACTAGGTCATTCTATGAGTCCACCATCAGTATTCTCAGTCGGAAAGCAAAAAGCATGAAACAATCAACGACACAAATCGATAAATGAAAGAACTTACTTTGTTGTTTCATTCACATGACGTTGTTTTAACCCATTGGCAAGTTTAGCTAAGGCATCGGAATAATCCTGTTCTACACTAGCTCGTCGACGATAAAAATCCTGAAGTTCAGCGACTACAGTAGAATCAATATCTAATTTAAGATCTAGACATTTCAACTGTTCTGTAAATTGATTGCGTAGCTCTGAAAAAAATAAATATGTGTAAAAAATAAAGTGCACATAAACAAACGTATTTACAACAAAACACCAAACTAGTTCAAAAGTAAACAAAAAACCAAATCAGTAGAGCACACAATAACCCAAGAAATCATTATGCGTCTAAACAGATTAAAAAAGAAATTTTATACAACTAGAAATTACTCAAGCTATCATAATTAAAAATATCTTTAACCGAATATGAATACAATAAAAAGTTTACGGTTACAAAAAGGATATCAGAGTGTACAACACCTCTCCTTTATTCCTATTTCCTTTTTTTAGTAATCATCATATGAAGAAACACCTATTCACTGGATATTAGCTGTCAAAGTTACTTTTAGAAGAGTATATGTATTATTGATTGATTTACCAGTCACAGGCTAGTGCATCTAGCTTCAAACTACACTCCAAGCATGAGAAATAGTAAATCTATCTTCATGACCGAACCGAAGTAGATGGAGCGAGTTTTGAACTTGAAGCTCAATAGATGAAAGTCCAACGTCTTAACTACTGAGCCACCTTTCCTCAAAGATGTAACCAGTTGATTATACCTTAGATAGAAGTTCAGACATTAAAATCGGAAAAGGCTAAAAATCTGGTTGAATAATAAGAAACTAATATGACGGCTAAGAATTACTTATATTAAGGAGTAATTGATCTATAAAAATTCATGACCTCCAATCAGTTATTTGCTGAGTAACATAATCATGCATATATTTTATGTTTGAAATTTACAATATCTAAACATATCATTTTGCCATTTCAGAAAAACTTATTTTGATGGTTTTACTTTTTTTGCATGTAAGTTAATTGAGGGAAATGGGTCAAAAATTCGGTCTCGTAAACACTTATCAGCTGGCCACATAATATCGCTACACATTATATATTAATCAATAGTTTATTCATTTCAAAGGCCCCACGAATTTTCCTCAACATTTTATCGTCTGTAACAGAAACCGGAGTCAAAACAATACTATTTTACCATACATACAAAAAATTAACACAACGCACTGAAAGAAATTATTGTAAAATATGGTAATAACATAAAACATGTATTATCAAGAAGCAACAAGGTTGAACGATTAAGTTGGCGTGAGAACACGTCATATATAATCAGTCAATGTCTTTTTGCACTTAGTATTACAATCCGTCATCATTATTTTACATTTTAAACTACTTGTGACTAAATAATAACCTTCATTTGTCTATATATTTGCTTAATATTTGGGAGGATGTAAATGTCAATTATATTTGGGACATTGATCAATTCACAACAGCGGCAAAGAGAAGAAAATGACAAGGTCATTGTTCCTGATTTACTTCACTTTATATTAAACGCTTGATTTCCCCCTTATATGTAGACTTCATCTCAAAAATCTGCAGTAACCATAACACACATTAGTCCGAGGTATTTCTAAAACATGCAAACATAGCGTTTTGTTATGCGCATTATATTCCCTAGTTTCCTCAGATGATTTGTCTTCTAGTTTATTTATTGTACGGCAGATGTGCTCCCAAACCACTGGTAACCAAATATGCGTGATCGGAACGGCCATGCAGTACAGACAAATGATAAAAGTGGTTACTGATATATATATATATATATATATATATATATATATATATATATATATATATATATATATATATATGTATAGATGTGTATGTGTTGAAAACAGCAGTCTTGTATATTCTCTATTTTGCTATAAATAAAAACCTAATACATTAACATAATACCAAATCTAATAAGACACACTTCCACGAGAACTTTTGATTGATAAAATTTGATAATATCCTTTACTGAAAAATATGAAAAATGTATAGAGTCACTACTTAAACATACGTTGCAACACACAGTGAATAGTCAAAAGGTTATGCACTCTCAGTTATGTCTCCAAGTTCACTAATTATTCAGCGTTTGTCATTCTCGACTTTCCATCGAATAAACATGAGTCTTAAAGGGTGTAGAGATCAGTTATTGACTTCTTCTTCTGAACTTATCACATGAATACTTTTGGATTTCTTTTATAAAGTAAAACGGTCGAAATCCCCGGTCAGTTTAATTATTAGTTATAGTGTATTATTTCACTTAATATAAATATTGAAAGATTTATTGTTCTACACCTAACTATTTGAAAGCATTTTAATATTTGGTTTGCGCTATTGATTATCTTCCCACCTATTAATAAATAATATAGTATCATGGATTTATAGGTCTAGGAATATAACGGTAAATACCCAAATAAAAGTAAATGATGAATCTTTTTATTCAGAGTATTGAATAGCAATAAAAAAAATAAAATAAAAGTATGCATCACAATATTCTACCACTGTGAAGAAAAAGTGTATAAGTCCAGAATTTCATGAAGTATTTATTGATGAAGAGAAAATTATTGTTATTGTCATTATCATTACCATTATTACCATAGTTAGTACAACTGATAAGATTTATGCATTGCAAAACTGAGAGGTAAGGTAAACCAGTTACCAGCATATCAAGTTAGTTGTTTGGGTAAGATGAGATTGAACAGCATATACCTTCACTTAGTCTTAATATTCTAAAACAAGATGACGATATATCAACTGGATTGATAATAATCAACAAGTTATTAACTGAACTCTATGATTTGTTGTGATATCATCTTTGGTTTACTCAATCTAAACATCCTAACTGAAGATCTATAATAACACATTATTTACATGAAGTACCTCTGTTAACTACATTGCTTTTTCCGAAATAATTTGGACAGTAATAGTAATGGTAGTTACGTAGGTGATTTGTTCAAGAGGGTTTGTTTCTACCTACAGAGAATTCTAAAATGTATTGGTGTCATGTAATCAGTCTAAGAATAGAAGAAAATACGCCTGTGACGTCAGTTTGACTAAAGATAGTTATTTCTTGATATAAACCGATCAAAGTACTTCAGTAGGTCAATCATGGTGGGTCCCATAAATATATAAGAAGAGAAAAAGATTAGCTTATTCACCAGGTTCTTATGTATGAGCCACGCTTTAGGAGTAAGGGCTACCATAATTTGATGAGCGAAAATCTTCAGTTTAGGGGAAATGTAAACGACCAATATATATATTCGTCCAAACATCAGTTTTTAAACAGTCATACTGAAATTGTAAAACAATCTATGTAAATGAAGACTGACAAGAATTGAGTTCAACTAACTTCATACATTCGAACAATACTGAACTGCCCAAATCAAATGTTTACTTTCATGAAATAATTAAGTAATATTATTAAATTATATTTTAGTTAGTAATTTAAGTGATTTTTGTATTTTTCTGAAATCAAAATAATTTGAAATAAATTTTGGGTATTGTACATCATAACAACGTCCGATTTAAATAAAAACTAACTCCATAACATTGTGGACGGGTTCAGTACAGTGTATTTCCACGTTAACTTGAAAGTATTGATGAAACGAGTATTCCAGTCTGTAATTAAAGTGAATCATACAGTACTGAAATTACTCAACATCATTTACGATACCCACAATCGATAAAGTTCAACTACTGAATGCGTGGAATATACAGTACTTTACGGTTGATGTTCTTTATCCGCGAATATAGTCCATTTACAGAGCAAAACACTCTTACTTACAAATCATATTATTTGGAAAACATGCACTAAGCAAGATAAGTAAATATCACTTCGCCAATCAGTAACCATGATCACATGTACAAGATAAATTACGACAGAATGAATAAAAGCAGAATAAAAGACTACTAATTGCCAGGAAAATGTAAGTCGTAGCTTGACCAGTCAAAGGTTTTCTAGTCAGAATCAAAAGCAACAAGTTAAATCAGGAAAAAAGTCATGAAAAACAGGACTTAGTACGAATTCCTGTAAGTTCAAATCGCTACATTCTGTATCATCATAGGAATAGGGAAAACAAAAGGATGAAAATATTACAGTAGGTAGTAGTAGAAAAGAATAGACAAGTAAAAGAAATAAATTAAATTGGAGAGTGAAAATTATAGATCAACAGTATGTTCCGGAAGGTAAGGAAGAAACTCATTCGTTCCATTGAAGCTGAGTTCGGACAAAATTTACTGTACAGAAATTATTATTAGTTTCCATATTACAAACAAGGCACCTGTACCTATCGATGTGACCTAAAGCAGCAGTAAACGATTATACAAACGCATCTAACCACTGTTACTCCTTTTTAACCCACCTCTGTACTAGTCGACAGAACATTTTATGGCAATCGCTATTAACGAAATCGTAACACATCTCACAACCAATCAAGTCGGTTAATATTAATAGCCTTACAGATCAAAAATTCAAATTTACTTTATATTAAACTCAGAACATTAGCATTCCCCATTCAGTGATTTCTTAACAAGCCAGCAATTTTGTGAAGAAACTTCTAATTAAAGTACTTTAATCTCTTTTAAAGGTTATGTTTTACAATTATAAAGTAATACAAAAGGAACTTTTGAACAGTATACTTGCTACTTAATAGGTGTAAAGAAATCTTACTTTCCCCAAAAGCGACGTCATTTGACAAAATCCAAAGTGACCTTTTGAATTAGTACATAGACCGTGTCATTTACTAACCCATTACTTTATACAATAAATTCACCTCCGATATTTAAGCTACATTAAGAGCGTTTTCAATCAAGTTTTCCAGGTGCTCATAGAACTTTTTAAGTTGGTAACATTAGACTTTTCCAGATAAACAACGCAAAATTTTATTTATATTTCAAATTGAATGACATGTCAAAAACGAAGCTAAAAATCATAATTTTTGGTGCTTCAAACGTAAAAGTTGACAACGCTATCTCATCTAAATTACATTATATTTGAACCAAGGACTGGCAATAACTAATGAAAGCCAGAGAGCACTAGACGGCTATTTAGTCCTAACTAGTGCCTCTAGAGTAAATGCACACTCAGGACAATATACCAAGGTCATACCAAAGACTTTCACCTTTTCAGAGGTTCTCCGATCGGTTTTAGTCCATGATAAAAACTAACTGTAAAATCAGCCAACTCAAACAAACTCCGTCTAAATATAATGTATACATCGTGCACTTGAGCACAACCAGAAAATATATTAAGGTATCATTTCTAACGATTTATTGAAGCATAGGTTTATCAAAAACACAAATATGTGATGGTTATAGAAAAAGCTAAAAGACATTAAAAACGACGAACAAATGCCATTGTAAAAACAACATTACTTTACGTAAACTATACATTTTCATCATTCTCATATTTACCCTGTGTGAGTACCGCAATTAGTAACTAAATCTAAAACCAACAATTAAACACATAATGCTACTTCTTGTAATAATTTTTCTTTTCTGATAAGAGATATTAAGTCTGTCTCACATCACTCACAAGAACTACATTGTTCGCCGACAAATGCTGATTTCCCAATGAAAAAACCCATACTAATACGCCAGATATAATGCCAAATTAATGAATACTAAAACTGAAAAAATAAAACTAATATTCGTTTAACAAATCAAGACATTCTTAAAAACGACACTGTAACGTTCGAAAATATAGTTCTACATTCTTCAAAGCATTTCAGTTTACCCGTACACAGAAGACGAAATCATAAAAAAAACAGAAATCAAATTAAGATAGGGAAATGAATACAAGGCATGAAAAAGTTAAGCCTTCTGTACATACGAACCAGGCAAATTAAAAACTTAATTTCCAAAATAACATTTTTTAGAGTAAAAAGGGACATGTGCATGATTAGCGGAAACTCAAACGCATGCAGAGAATAGTGAGAAATAACAAGAAATCTAGTGAGTGCAATGAAGTAAGAATTTTACAAACTTACGCCAGTCAATTCCCCCAATATATTTTGATGAAGAAATAGAACGTCGAGGATTGTTGCTTCGTTTGAGTGACCCACTTAAATGAGGACCGAGTCCACACGAATAATCCATTACCACCGACGCGTAAAACGTGAAGCGTGAAACATTAGATCACACTATACAGAATTCAAGCCAAACAGAAAGATTGACCATGATAAAAGTTCAACATCAAATAAACAATAATCCTAGTTGTTCAGCTTCAGAGGAAAACAACAGCCGAAGATGAATTCATCCTATGAATTTTGCCAAACAGGAAAAAGAATGAGGTATGGAAGTCTTTTGGCTGAATGACGAGTGTAAATTGAAAAACATATATTTGATAAGATAGAAAATCATCCTGTGAGGAATATAAAAACTAATCCACCGAAAATCATTATCCAACCAGAAAAACAAAAGATTTGAAAAGATTTAATTTGTGCGGACAACTAAGAAGAAATCAAGTAAAAAAAGAACCATGAGGCACACAACGGTAAGCATGTACAATGTTGAGGCGACCAATTAATGTACAGGTAGTTCGATAGCGACTGGAGTTAAATATGTGGTAAAATTTAGCTTAAAATCTTTACTTATAGCATGAATCATGCATTGGTAAAATCATACATATCAGGAAGAAATCAAAAGTTCGAAATTCGAAGCACGATATTCATTCTAAAAAATTAGACGAGATATATATTTACGGATAATCATACAATCTGGATACAAATAAGGGTCCACTTGTTATTTATGTAACTTTAGAAACATGTTTTAGATTTGAATCGGAAATCGTAGCATATAGTGGGGTTTAAATATTACCTTAAAAGTCTAGTCCTTTATTGAAGAGAAAGATTCCTATGGAAAATGGTCTTCAGACGTTTGACCATACACTCTTCAAATAGTCAGTCGATAGCGTGGTAGAAATCTACCATACTTAGTAACTAGTTTCTGTGTACTTCCCTTAAATAAATTTTCAACCAAAACTTAAAAATTAACGTAATATGAATTCATGTTGTTGTAGTGTTCTACAATTCTGCCTGTTTGCCACCATTTCAAGTTCAATTTGGGACGAATTTAGGAATCATCTGAGAACTATTTATCTATTATCTATTCATCTTTCAGTTTGCGATTCATATTCCCTTTTATATTTGTGGTTTAAAGTATAACTTTGGCAGTCTCATCAGTCAAGAAACTAAATTTAGTCCTATGCTGTTTCGGAGTGAATAGAAAGCATTTTGTAATTATTCTTCCGTAGAAATTATAGAGACATGAGGACAACGCGTTTAATGCATCAAACCACTAACTTCTGTTCCGAAATAAGGCTTTTAGAAAGAAAAGTAAACAGGAGGGAAGACCCGCCTTATGTAATATCTGGAACTACATAAACAGACGATTTGAACACCTTTACAAACAGGAATTAATTAGAAGTTTATTAATCAATTAACAGGAATGTATATTTGATATACGTTGAACAATAAACATCGCGTGAATTCTATGGAACATTCGGACTTGAAATAATAAAGAATTATGAATATAATGAACGAAGCCGTAGGAAGTGCCATAAAGTTGATAAACAATGATGTAGCCGTGTAAAGGGTTAGAATGTCAAAATCAACTGTTTCTTCAATAATCGCTTTTTGTTAATTATTTTATACATTGAGCAATTGAGTAATTTTTACTGAAAGATATTTGGTTAAATGTTCAAATGTGTTCAAAGGGAAAGACAAAAGGTTAATCGAATAAAGAAAGTAGCTTAAACATAAATATCATGGCAAGCGATATGCAATGAAAAAACGCTTTCACAAAACTGAGAAATTGAAAAGAAGCACAAGTCAGTGATGAAAGTTATTCAAACCCATTATTATGTGTGATAGGCATATGATCAGGATAATTATACTAAAAAAGCAAATCATAACTATATGACAAAATATTTTAAAGGACAATTTACGCAAACTAACAGAATTTAGGATTGCAAATATATCGGTAGATGATAATTAAAATAAGCAAGCAAATGACCAATAAAGCAAATAGCAAGAAATGTCAAGACATGATCTATCTACGAAAAGTTTCAACCGAAGAAAGACAACTAAAATCAAGGTCTCAAGAAAAAGCAATCTAAAAGAAAGTGCTGGACAGTAAAACATATGAAGAACTAATTTGAATAGCGTTACATATTCCGGTTAAAACTGACCTTATTAGTAACAAACTCAAAAAAATACAATGACGAAAAAATCTAAACCTGGAATAAGCATCTTTAAGTTATTAGCATTCTTTTAATCAAACAACAGGAATAGCCACAAAGGAATGTTTCCAAATCGGAAAACACCAAGCACAACACTATGTGAATATTTGAATTCCTCCTATGGATAATGATCATACAGTGTCTAAGTGCTATTCGCTAACTAATTTTATTTAATTTATTCAAACACATAAACATTGGTACAAGGAAGCACCGAATAGATATGCGCCACATAAATCATTCGATTTGTGTGAGGGCTGGAATATTGCCTGGGCTCCCAGACTGAAGCAGGTGATTTTCTTAAGGGACCACGCCCAGCGCATTCGACCTAATGGTCTGATCAACAAGGCGATCGAGCAATGTAAGGAGATGCAGTCCCATGGTAGCTGGTGACCAACAATAGGTTCATACGTCATTTGTTCCTTCAGGATCCTGGATCCAGCGTGCACTATCGGTTCAGAGTCAAGGTTTTCCAACTCCCCTAGGCGGATCCTTCGTATCCACTGACCCGGTTGAAGCGCCGGACATTCGCTTTTCACCCTATCCGTTTCGCAAACAACAGTGATGCCACGAGAAGGCAGTGAGTAAGACTTCCCTGGAAGTGGTTATATGATATGCACGTGGTCATGTGAGAGCATTTTGAGAGGAAGAGCTGACTACACTCCCTGTCGTACCAGAGCACTTGATGGTTGTTAACTAAAGTAGACGTAGTTTAAAACTATGGTCCCTAAAGACGGGAAGACAGCTACCAAACGAACACGTCTGTGGCGTAATTGGAGTTTAGATTCATGAAATATTAATCAATCACTAACATAACTAGGAAGTCAGATGGGAACGTACATCATTCAAAGACTAATAAATAGTGATATTAAGGGTAGAAAGAAAGTATATCCAGGATTTCATACGTAGTTAAGCGAACAATTGCTTAACAACGATATTTTCCGGATTATCAATAAGATCACTATGGGACTCTAATTCACCCATACTAAATTACAATCGAACTGTATGTGTACACCAGAAATTTAGTTACCAATTTAAAAACCATTAATACCGCCCCACACTGTGATTTCACACCATTATATGTTATCATATTTCATATCACAACAAAACAATATTAACAAGACGAAAAAATAAACGTCCCTAATTGTATCAATCGGGGTGGAAAACCGAACACAAAAATATGAACCAAAGATGAAGAGTCAGGTAAAAGAATGAAATCTGTGTAATATCAAACTCAAGATCCATGGGGAGATAAAGACTGAATACAGTCGCACCAGTCATTTATTTTAAGCCATGTTACCCAGGTCGTTCAACCACTGATTGGGATTATTAGAGTTCAATTTAGTAACATGAGATTTTCAAAGGTTTGGAAACGAAAATAATTGAATATATCAAAGCTTTTAAAGTGATAAGAAAAAAAAATCAAAATGCTTGGTGAGTAATTGTCCACTAGATGTAATATCACATCCCCAGTCGTCACATTTTCGGTATTTTGGTTCCCAACTTTCTGTCACCAGGATACTAGTGTGTCGTTATAAATAGCACTTCTGAAGATCAAGTAAACTTTCGGTGATCATGGAATTTGATAATCTTAATTTGGTACACAACTGTAAAGATTTTTGCATATATTCCGCACTGTCGCTGATAAAAGGATGTATGGAAAGTTTCTAGCAGGACTTCAACCATTAGTGGTTGAATTGATTTCTCTCAATCATCTCATGCATCTTACTACGGCACCTATTTATCGATCTTCTACTAATTTATTTCGGGATTTTCAATTTTGTCATTTTCGCAGCTGCTAATATATTTTATGGCAATACCCCTCCAACGCTCGGCGTATTACTACTACAAATTCACGAAAACGTCAGTATATAATCAATATTTTTGCTGAATACTTTGTGCACAAAACCATATAACCGAATGATCACTCCAAATAACGAACGAGTGAGTCATTGGAACTTATTCACTACTTTAGCCGTATCGGCGAGACTACACTCTACGGACGAACCAATCAGACTTAGGATAACAGGTTTTGGATTTTGGTGCGAAATTCACTCACTCATTTGTCCAAATAACGTTTTGGCATTTTAGCTGACGTCAGTTCGTGATGAAAACCATAAATCTAAATCCTAACCCTTACCATCAAATGTAAACCATTATTTTTATTCCTCAAACTGCTTTAAAACCCTTATTTAGCCCTATTAAGTAGGTAGACACTCTCAAGATTACTCTGGCGTCACTCAAAGGTTATCCGTAAATTATAGTCTCATCGGAAACGACTCAAAACAATAGTAAAAGAATTGTAAGTTAGATTAGAATAATCCTAAGAACTTACAAAACATAAGGACACAAAAAATAAAATATTCAGCGCATTAGCAATAATATTAATTGAGTCATTTATAAGCGACATCTATGTTTTCATCTCTTTTTAAGCACACATATTCCAAATCTTCAAATTTTTAGACATGACTATTAAATTTCAAACATTGCTGAGGCTGACAGATTGTCCATGTCAGAGTTTGATTCACTCGTTTTTCACCAAGTCTTCAAAGTAAAAGACAGAAAACAGTGACTTTTGTAACTTTGTGGGAGTGGTCGTCAAACTCCCAAGTCACACTAGCAATAGAAATGGGTAACCCAAACTAAAACGAATTCCCAGAGAATCCTGAGCATTCCGTTTTCTAAAATAACAAACAACTTCCAGATATGAATATCGAGTTGGATCTAATGTACTTGAATAACTAAGTGGCACTTAGTTGTACGTTACCTAACCTGGGTTATCGTGTGATCATGGTAATCAGGACTATGTGTAGATAGAAACAACTACCTCAACTAATTTACATACCAATTTTCAATTTAGAACTAGTCGATTGTCACCAGACAAGTAACGATGCCGACGTTGCTTACTTGAATGAAGTCATAATATAAGCGCAAGATATTACGCTGGGTTTCGTTCACCCTCTCGGACACACAAACAAGACATAACTGATATCGCATAAGAATATAAAATGGTTGTTTCTCTATCCCAACACAAATTATTACCTTTGATGGACATAACACACCTCATCTCCAAAACAAATTAAGCAAGTGTGACCTTGATCCCCGAAAAATTCAAGATGTCCAATAGCTCTTATGAAAGCCAGAGATATTTAAATTTCTCAGATACAGTAGTGTAACTAAATTTTCTCTCAGCCTTGTGTTTGGGACATTATATGAGGCTCAATGCGTTGCTCAGATGTAGTAAGATGTAAAAGCTATGTAACGTCTTCATTGTTAATGCTTGATCAAAACCCCTCCAAAATGGGAAGTTTGGAGATAAACAAATCCCCAAAGTAAATAGTGCTATGAGGATTCAACATTGGTTCTAGCCTCGTTAGTTTTACTGGGCGCACCACAGCTGACGTCGCTCGGTCATATATACGCAACAGATCACCAGTGGGTACGCCGTGCTGAGAAGTTCTACCACTGCTAACCAACTTAAACCATCAGGATGGAACAGAAGTCAGGGCTGTTCGGGATTAGGATACTTTTGCCTGCCACCTTCCAACTCATGACATTCTGGCCCGACAATATAGAAGCCTGGTTCTGCTACGTAGGAGCTTATTTCAATAAGCACAGCGTAACAGACTCATATGCCCAATTCCTTGCAGCAGTGACGGCACTGCCACTCGATTCTAACAGGTAATTTGCACCCCACATGTTTACAAGCGATGTTTCGGGACACTACGACATTTTAAAGAAGGCTACCTTTAAACGTAGAAACCTAACCGACTGACAAATATTAAATCAACATTTCCCTAACATCGAGTTGCAAAACCACTCAGTAATAAAAATATTTCTACCAGTGTGAGGGGTCACTGGTCAATGGACTTTTGATAAAGTCCTCTTTACACATCTATAAACATCCATGCGCTGAACGAAATTACGGATGTCTGAAACACTCTCACTCTTTATCTTAATATTCATTGTAAACGCAGACGCTTTCAAACTCGTCGAAGAAACTTGTCATGGAAAGGATCTGTCTCTAGATCATGATAGGCAAATAAACCGGATTGGTGTTGATGTCAAGACGCCCATGGTAAGTCTTTCAGAAATCACAGGAGACCTTTCCGTTCCCCAATCTCCAAACCGTCGAGAAGCATCACTGGCACGCGTCAGTGGCAACCGTATCTGGGGAACATAGCCGTCTTTTACACATCACTGATGTGATGACCAAAATTCTCTACCTCTTCGACACTGACGAAGACGTAAGCGTTCTTCCTGCAAATCCTAACGAACAACTTCGCAAACTATTCTTCAACTTACAGGTGGAAAATGGAAAACATGTCGCCACATACTGTAAGAGTTATGTTTCTCTTGACATTGGTTTACTAAAAGATGTTCACCGCATTTTTGTTGCTGAAAATGAGTTCATGTCATTCATTAGTATAGACTTGTCACAATATCATTAACTACTCAATGACCCGAGCTAACGGAGGTTTGTAAACGGAAACTGTCTCTTCGTGGAACTGTAGTGGTATCAGCACCTAACCACACAAACTTTGAAGAGGCACATAAAATTACTCATAAATTTCCGGGTAGAATACATTACTTTATTTTCAGCCGAAGATGTTCTCCAGAAGCACTAAACACCGTAGTTCTGGTTGTTACGATAGGACGAGTGTGTATAGACAGTGATACCACTTTCATATTGAGGAGACTGACTAGAGAAATGCAGCTTGTTATTAACCCTCTTTTTTACATTAACTTCATCGATTGACATTTACTTAGATTAAGCTGTTTTGCTGGATAATTTCCCACGTTTTTGGTAATTGACATGTATATATCTCCATTTAGATTATGTCTCATGTGAGCCATTTCCAAGACGGTTTTGTGCATTGTGCATATTTGGTAGCTTTTTCGTGCCTTAAAGTAGCCCTCGTGCTATTGATAGAAGAAACCAGAGAAGTAGTGAATAGGTCTTTATTTCGATCTTAGCGCGGTGACAGTGGAGCGTCCGATTACCTGTTCAGACAAACAAAGGCTCTCAACATTCAATATAAGATAATAGGGAATATAACGCTTATACAAAACAAGGAAGTGAATGAATACTTGAACAGTACTGTTTTGGCATATGCTTGGTTGTTTGGGGTCAACTCTTAACCAACCAACCTAGGCTGTTACATTAGCTTCCCCCTAGAATCGACTTCCGTAGGAACGTCGGTTCGATTAACCTAACTATCGAAAACACCTTGGTTCTATTTCTCATCCCCAGGGAAAATTATCAACTCGCTCACTGTTTGACTTACAATCAGTGACGACTAACGCTGTCAACGATAGTCCATGGATGTCTCTTATTTACTAGCTTGTCATCTTATTTTGTAGCATGTGATTTCTTCTACAACTATCGCCGACGGTTTGCTGCGTGCATTCAAGAGAAAGTATGAGAATGTGGAATAAGAATATCTGAGGAAGTGCCGCGAGCGGGCTACCCAACACCATGTTGGTGAGGTACGATTTTTCCGTGCTCAGACCGGCTATCAGGTGTTTACTCACCTGCCTCTTGAGTCGCCCTCAAGTAAAAAGTAAAGAAGAATCTACTTCAAAGGTAATGGTGAAAATCAAGCAAACCTGAAGAACTGCTCCACTGCCTGCATAAAATAATAAGATACAAAATGGAAATACATAAATGTAATTGATAATTGTTCGGTTCCATGTAAGTGCTTGGTCTCCAGAACGGATTGGTATTCTGGAAGAGAATAGACATAGTGTAGATATCTTGTGCACGAAAAACCATGAAAACAAAAAAAATACTCTTTTGTAATGCATATATATAAAAGGGTGAACTTGCTAGAAGTTGGACCCTTTAACAAAATCGATCAAACCCGTGACCTTGAGCTTGTGATGACCGCGTTTCACAACTAGGTGCGTAACCAAGGGTGCATAATTGTACTCCACAAAACGGAAAAGAATATACGGTTAAGAAGCAAAAAAAAATGTGTAGAGTATGCGGATCAAGTACAGTTGTGTCAAATACCCTTTTCTTGTTTGATTTAGGTATGCATGATATATTGAAGCAATATATCGTCAATTCATCCAAGTAACGAATTGGTTTGCACCTCAGAAGTGTGTAAGTCCTATTACTCATTAGTATTATAAGTGATTAATTGGTGTAAGGAAATATTGAAGTCACTTCCTCCGTGGTCTGATGTGGCTTAACGGCTAAGCACGCGGTCTAGCATTCAGGAGGGCAGAGGTTCGAGTGAATGTGGGGCCTGCGTTTTTGTTCACTAGACCCACCTTCAATACGATGTTTGTTGCCCGTAAGTCGCGCACATATGAGAGAAAAAATGACAAGAGGACAGATTGATATATCAAAGTGCCATATTGGAAAAGTATAAGTTCTTTTTTTACATGAATATTATTACTATAGAAAAAAAAACTACAAGTTTAGTAAATTTCCATTTTACGTTATATTTAAACCAACGAATATATATATATATCAGTTATTGACATAAAATGTTTTTTTTTATAACGCTAATGTTAAGTTCCAGGACTTTGTATGGGCCACTAATAATAATTGGTTTGACGTTAGCATAGTCGTGATATTCACATTGTCAGTTCAATGTTATGATTACTAAACAGTTCCCTTATAAGTTGTGTTTAAAATTAGGTATGTGGAATCAATGCGGCTGACATAGTAACCTTACAGTAACGCACTGTACTATATATTCACGGTTATTGATTCTTAAATGTCAGAAATTAAAAAAAATCTGAATATTGCCAATAAAGATGGGTTATATGATCACACTAAAAAGCATGCTGCAGGGAAACTGGTTAAGTCATTACGTAAGTTTCCTAAACATGAAAAAAAATGATGAGAACTTTAATAAGTACTTGACCATGGTTTAATCCAAAATGTTTTGTCTAGAAAACTACTTATTAATAGTAGTATTAATCGTATCAAGCTACTAAACATATCCTCAACCGAAAACTTTTAGAAGTAGTTCATATGGTATATATGTATAGCCAGTCTACGTGAAAAATATATATAAATATATAAGAAGTACAGCCAACATAGTTAATTAACCAGAAAAAGAAATTATAAAACTCGCCTGGGTTGCTTTTTTAATTCGTTGTATTTGCCAGTGTTAGTTGTATGAGTTTGATTGAAATCCTCAGCCATCGTTTCGGAATACCTAGCTTATGTGTCCAGTATTTTAAAAAAATATTTAACTTAACACGTATATATCAAAGGTAAAAGGTCTGGGGAGTTGTCGGTGAGGCGGAATGAAGAAAAAAAATATTTTTAAGTAGATGCAGGGTGTGATTAGCTGCGTGGTTAGATTTTATCCTGCAGCCGAAACTGTCAACATCCTTGACTGACTAATTGGATGTGCCCAGCGAACCGTTTTAGTCATTTGTAAAGATTTATTATCTTTACATTTCGATTCCGTAATGGATTTGTCAGTTAAACGATCTAACAACACGTATGGTGGTTCATGATCTAGATAAGCCGGCTTTAGCCTATCAATACTTACTGTGTCGATGTTTCCATGTTTTTGTATCACGAAATATTTGGATTTTCTTGAGACAACTTTGAAAGGACCTTCAAATGGAGGACTCAGTGGTGCTTTTATTTTGTCACATCTTATCCAGACGTGCGTGCAATTGCTTAGGTCTTTAGGTATATATACGGCGCGCGATTGTTCACGAGTACTAATCGGCTTAATTTTAGACATGTGGTTCCGTAGTTGATCTACATAATTTTCTAAATTAAGTTTTTGACTGTTAGTATTAGGGTTAATAAATTCACCTGGTAGTCTCAGAGTTGTTCCGAAAACCAGTTCCGCAGCTGAACACTGTGCGTCAGTTTTGACAGATGTTCGTATTCCCAACATAACTAACGGTAGGAATTCTGTCCACTGATTGGGGTTTGAGTGAGATATAAGGGCGGTTTTTAGCTGACGGTGAAAACGTTCTACCATCCCATTAGCCTGAGGATGATATGCAGTGCAGCGTATCCTATTGGAGCCTAGAAGTTTAGCCAAGTTATTAAATAGTTCGGATTCGAATTGCGCTCCTCTATCCGTCGTTATTGTTATAGGTGTACCAAAAATGGTTACCCAGTTCTGCATGAAAACTTTGGCTACTGTTTCCGCTGTGATGTCCGCTATCGGGATGGCTATAGGGAATCTGGTAAATCGATCTATGCATGTAAAAAGATAATTAAAACCGTTTGAACGTGGTAAAGGACCTACTAAGTCGATATGTACATGGGCAAAACGTGCATCTGGTTGCGAGAAAACACCTATGGGTGAAT